ACATGGATTTATCCCATGCACATGAACATAGAAATGCACATCGAAAGCTGGAACAATAAAATTCTGTTTAAATCATAGGTCATTTTCCCACAAAGAACTTCAGAGATACAACAGTTTAACAAATCCTTAGACAAAGATGTGAATCTCAAGAAAGTTATTCAAAAGACAACTTTATCTGGAAGTAACAGAACTCTGCATGTTGTCAGAACACATAAATAAACTATTGCAACTAAGAAAAGCTTGAACTACAGTTTGATTTGGGACCAAAGTACATTATGATGAATTATCCATAAAATTTTTATTAAATATAAAATGCCTAAAGAAGTAAGGCTTACGATTGTTCGGCAGTATCCTGATGATCAGAATATTGATCACTATAGCCCAAAGCCTGAAATGCACGTAAAACATCAGCATGACTACACTACAAGACATCATATAGACACATAAGCAGTATAGGAAAATTAAAATAAGCTGGGATTTTTACGACCTTCTGATCTTTGATTTTTCTGTAATCTCTATTTTTTTTCTTATCCCTTGACTTTTCATGTGCATGCTTACTATCATTTCCTCGATTTATGTTCTTCTTTGCATCCAGTGCAAGTTCTGCTAGGAAGGCTTCTCTGGCAGCATCAGACTTTTCTGTAGCATCTTTATCTACCAAACTTTCCAAGCATAACTGTGAAAAAAAAAATCAAAAGCAAGCAGAAGATATTAGTAACCAGATCAAAGAATCATATGCTGAAACATCTTCAAACATAAGTAAAAGTAACAATTGAACAAACCCGAAGGAAAGACTTCACAAGAGGCAAAAGAACTGTACGATAATCAAAGGCCAAGGCAGGCCCAAGCTTAGCCTCCAACTGTTGCATGCCAGTCATATTTCGCATGATCCTTGCATCAATCTTGTTAAGCTGCAAGCAAGAAAAAATGTTTATTAGGTCCTATTACCAAGCATAGAAAAACACAGTGGATCAAGTGAAAGAAATTATAATACCTCCACAGACAATTGCTCCTTCTGTCGTTGGATTGCTATTCCTACGCAAGTATCTGTTTGCTGCAAGTAGTCATGCACCCTCCAATCATCACCCTCGTCACAATCCAACTCACACAAGCGAGAACTAACACCGGACAAAGCCTCATCGCAACCAAATTGTGATACATTCAAAGCTTGTGCCTCCTTAAGGACGTTAGAAATTACATCCAACTCAAGTCTGCAGGCATTAAATATCTCATCATTCTCCCGTTCAACAAGCTCTTCTTGTCTCTTCCTTAAAGTAGCCTCATAACTTTGAGATGCAAACTTCCCTGCTTGCTCCCTTTTCTTAAGTTCTTCAAAGCAAAGGTTCTCGATAGACTGCAAGGCCTCCTCATAGCTTAGATGTTCACATTTCCTCTCACACAGACTTTGTAAGAGATAGAACTCCTTCTCAAGCATCTGAAGTATTTCGATGCCTTGATGAGATTTCTCTTCGCGCATGCGGGTCCAAGCTGACAGTTGGTCCCCATTCGAAGGGCCAGCAAATAACCATGACAGAAAAGCATCTGCATCAGGCATACTATCCTTGTCATCATCATTTCCCGAATTCTCATGATGAGATCCAGGCTTTTGTGTAAATGAACGACCATGCAAGAGGAGACTGGAAGAATCAAAGGTCAGGCAGACATCGTCTGAGTCTTCACTACCCTGTCCAGAACTATCAGCATCACCAGCAGCAGTATCCTTCTCGGAATATCTCCCTAACCCACAAGACTGTGACAGCTCCTGCAAGAACTTGAGGACCTTCCGGAGGTGTGAAGCATCCAAGAAGCAGATACAAATAGGTGACTGGTCCAATGCATGGTTCAGCGGTAACGATCCAGAGGGAAAAGCTTGGATCTCTTCGATGGCATACTGTATCACCTTATTCAGATGGCTCACTGAGAGGCTCTTATGCTTCACAAGTGTCTGAAACATAGCTTGAACTCTTTCCAAAAGATTGATCCGTTCAACATCATCCGACAATGGCCATCTGCGAGAGACATCATCAATGTCGGACATCTCGCTGTAGTTCCCTTCCACAGGAAACTCATTGGAAATGTCTCGATCTGCTAAGTCCCCATGCTGTGGTGAAGAAGAAGAATCTGAGTTCTCTCTAGCGCTCCAGTACTCGGAGGAACAGTCCTTATCCTTACTGCCAGAATCAGATTCAGCGTCCCTAATGACGGGCTGACGCTTCGAATGCTCCTCTTTGAGCATCATTGCAGCTGCAGCAGCATCAATGGGCTTCCAACTCCCATTAAGAAGCATCTCAATCCATTCCCCATCAACTTCTTGGGGCATTACTGACTGCAGCTTGGTTGAAAGACTGCTCAAATGCTCCCTCACAGTGTGCTGGATGTGGGCGTCACATTCCGTGAACTTCTCATCGCACCGGCAACAAGCCCAGAACTTCCATGTCCCATTGGTTTCCACGAACGCCAGTGCCTCCCCCAAGATGTCCAGCGCGAAATTGTCCTTTGCTGTTGAGGCATAATGCGTCCTGAGCTCTGGGATGCTCACAATTAGGAAACCTAGCCGCTTCTTGATGCTCATCGAGTTCCAGTAGGCACGGACCTGATCCATGCGGTCGGTCGAGGAACCAACCTTCTTGGAACTCAGCTTCCGGCGCTCTGCTAGCCGGTGAGCGCTGGAGGACCCAGGTGTATCCGAGCCTGGGCGGCCATCATCCTCATGGGGTGACCGTGGGGAGCTACCAGGCTTTTGCTGTATGATGCGAGCGGCAGCCACCCGGACCTCGATCTCCTTGCGGCGCTCCTCCGGGGTCTTGGTGACCTTCTTGATCTCATTGGGGCGGCGGGCCGCCTGCACCAACCGGACTTCCATGGGATCCTCAGAGATGCGGCGCATCGGGATCAGCCGGAACCTCTCCTCGCCGGCGGCCCCGTTGCCGAGATTCTTCATCCAGGACGAGATGGAGGCTATGTTGGACTTCTGGATGAGAGCCCGGAGCTCCTGCTGAACGTGGGTGATCCGGGCATCGGACGTCGACAGCTTCTGCTGGCTCTCCTCATGGAGGCTCTCCTTGGCGGGGTCGACCGGATCAGGGATGGCAAGCGCGCGCTCGCACTCCTGGACCACCTCCTCGTAGCCACGCCCGTCTGTGGCGGCGTCGTACAGGAGGCTAGCGTAGAAGTGTGCGAACTCGATCGACGACGGGGAGAGCGTGACGGCGCGACGGGCGGAGTCGATGGCAGCGCGGAGGTGCCGGAGCTTCGCGCCGGGATCATCGAGGAGGGCGGCGACCTTGACAGCGACGGTGCCGTGGACGCGGTGAAGAAGAGCAGAAGACTCATGCCGCACGGCCGCCTCCTTCATCAGGCGGAGGGCCTTGGTGTGGTTCCCGCGGCGAAGGGCTGTGAGCGCCCGCTCACATTCCACCTTCACAGAGGCCGCCTCGGCGGAATCAGGGCCATCGGGGCGGCGGCGCCCATCATCGGAGGCCAGGGAGGGTGGAGACGATAACGCATCGACAGCGGCGGCGGTGGCGGCGGTGGCGGTGGCGGTGGCGTCGGGGGGATGGCGGGCGGGGCGCTGGGTAGGGTTTCGCTTCTTATGCCCCATAAGACAACAAACCCAAGAAGGGGGATGAAGAAGAGAGAATAGATTATACTATCTCTGCTACAAAAGGGCTAACCACCTAACCGGACTCCAACTCACCAACGCCGCCGCCCCTCATCCTCATGAATCCGCCGGCGGCGATCCCAGCCACAAGTGATCTATCAATCTACACAACGCACCTACCTAATACTAATACTAAAAGTCAGAGACACAGATTCGCCTGGGTTCAAAGGAAGGAAGGAAGGAGGGGATCGAAGGGAGAGAAAGCAGCGATGGACGGTGCGATCGACGAGGGACGAGGCGGAGAAGGGAAGATGAAGCGAGGGGGGGAGGGGGTGGGGGTGGGGGGCGGGGGAGAGGAGAGGAGAGGGGTGGGTGGCGACCTGCTTTGATAATTGTAGATCTGGTGATGCTGATGATGGTAGGTCGTGCTCGAGATGCGCATCATCTGATTCGCACGTGATTCGTGTGTCGATTGAATCTACCGGGAACGACTTTACTTGGCTCGAACCCGCCAACTCGATCGACCCATTTCCATCCGATCTCCATCGATTACGTGAAATCTATTTCCGCCAATTCCCAAGTTACCAAATGGATGAAAAATATTTGATGATTAATAATAACAATTAATATTAAGTAAGTAAAAAAAAATACTTTTCACAATATGAATATGTTACCGTTAGTCATTAAGTAAACGCAATTAATGCTACTGTTAATAACTATTTTACACACGTCCATAATCAATTGCGTCGCCTTCTTTGTGCACAACATAATTGTGTCTAATAATTTAAGCCCCATTAATTTATCATCATTCGCAATAATAGTAGCAAAAAAACATTATCACATAAACAATATCCTTTGACATCATATTCTGAGGTCTTTATTGATTGGGTTTGGTATTTACCTTTTTCGACAATCGCATGTTGGGTTCTCTTGGATAGATGGATAACCAAATTCATGTATGAGCCAAGTTGCTGTATATAAGATCTGAAGCATAATAACAACCTCCCTGTTTGTAAGATTTCATGCATCATGCATTAGATAGTTCTTTATTCCATCCGTAGCTAAATTAGGACGAACGCCATTGTTCCCTCGTACCAAAATCTGTGATATGAGACATAAATAATACAATACGATGATCAGATGTGTTCAATGCATAAACAAACCAGTGTAGGTAAGTCGAGATCACAACAGATACCCAACACAATTTTATCTTGCTATCCATAAACCATGGTTAAGTTGTTAGCACAGAATATTTTTTGTAACTGAATTAAAGTAATATCAAACTCGAGCACAATTTTTACCATGGGTGCCTCACTTGATATAAGAAGAGAGCACATTACACTTCAAAGAGAATGCTTGCTTCGTCAAATCAGTCCTCAATAATTCCAAACTGCAAGCCTGGCTTAATCTGGAACATCTTATTCATAAATTAGATCAGAGTAGAAAGAGCAAAACTGATACTCTACAGGCATGCTATAAGAATTAGAATTTTCGGATACACTGGTATGGTTTAATGGACATACGGGCAGAGAAAGGAGCAGAATGTAACAATTATGAGAAACCAACATAAACATGAAACGGGGAGGAAAACGCAGCCACTATTTTTGCCATCAGAGCTTGCTCTTGCAAAAACTACCTACTCTAGTTAATGCCCCAAATAAGTCTTTGCATAACCCCTTCTCTAAATTCTTCAAGCCCAACATGACACTAGACCTGGTTTTCTCTCGCACGGTTGACCATCCTTCCTCGACCACCACCATAACCTCTCCCAGCAGCTCTTCCACCATCTCCTCTACCTCCTCCATATGCTCCACCTGTCACATTCAATAATTGTCTTAGTCATCGCATAATATTAAAGGCAACCTAGTACATTTATGGAAAGCAAAAGTGAACACACAAAGCGTCTTTAATTTTCCTTTTCTTTAAGAATATAGGAAGAGCTTTATCCAACATAAGTGATTTTGCAAATCCAATTCTACAAGGTAAGACTGCCAGTTCAAATATCAGAGCACAAGGATCATCTGGTTTGGTAACCTTAAAAGAGATACAGATATTTCTCTGGCTGCAGCATGAATAGTAAACATTTCGACCCAAATAATTAAGTTCTTAACAAAGTAACCAGATTCAAGCAAAAAGTCTACCAAATAGTTACTATCAACTGAAAAATCATCCTCTTCCTTTCTTTCTTCCTTTTCTATAAATTTCTAGAAGCATTTCAAACAAGGTCATGACATACAAGTATAGCTGAGGGTTGGCTATCCCATCATGCATCCAGTTTAGATAAGCTTTTAACCATCAACATGGTGTCAAACGTGGACTATATACAAAATCAAAAATGTTCCATAGATGATAAAGGGAACCTCTAGAACTAGGCTACGAGCCAATATGCTTAGATACAGTCATATGTGAGGTCTCTCAGACCAAAATTTGATACTAAAAAGTAAACTTCGCATGGTAAACCAATTTTTTATAACATTTTATTACTAAATTTTACCACAATCATACCAAACACACATATTATTTGTCTTGAATCGCAATTCCACTAAAACTTGCAAAGCATTAAATACACTAATGACTAAAGTAAAGGATATGTTGCCTATTATTTGATTGACTAAGTCAATCATAAACCTAGAAGACGTAGATTGGGAGTAAAGTTCTTTCAGCTCCAAATGGTTTTATCTCACCTCTCCATAGTCAGCATCGACAAATCATTTCTGAAAAACCTCAATAGGCCTGTGCAAGCAGCTTACATTAATAATACGGTTTGGTCTCATAGGATCATGCCTTCAATCAGTCTAAATTTTAACATAATATTCATGACTCTTGATCATCAGGTTATATATATGTCACATCATGCCTCAGCTATGAAGAATATGGCCTGGCTTCATGTAGCTAAGCCGTCTGGCCTGTACAATCAAAGTTCCATTTCAGCAAAACCAAGATCAACCTTGCCATCAAGACCTCACCCTAGTAGAGACTAAGTATGTATAAAATCAAGACAAGAAAGCTCAGAAACAGGAAAAGTTGTCGGTGGTTACAAGTATCAAAACATCTATAAGTGTTGACTTGAGCACAACATACCAAAGGTGAAAATTCATCAAACACCAATCACATTTGGAAAATTCGTTTTAATATCCACCTTTCAACAGTGGATGTAAATTTCAATGATATTAATTTTGGAACCATATTTGTTTATAATGGACAGGGAGAGGTTTCAGATTCAATTCAAGTGGATGTAGATGAAGTATAAAGAACTGGACATATCCCCCAAGAAATACTCAAAACACTAATCAAAACCTATTGATCACGGTGCACATGTCGAAGAGCCTTTCAAAGCAAATGTGAAAAGAGGACTTTAACAAGTCAATCAAATGACATCATTCTTTGGGTTAATATGGGTGTTGTAAGATGCTTGGATATCTGGACATGGATATGCTTAAAACCCATGTCCATATCTATAGCTGGAAGTTTCATCGAACATAATTCAGATACAAATACAAATATGTGACAACACATTCATGCGACCGTATACTGAACACTAATTGGAAATGGAGTTGGATGGTTATTATCTGACATACTTTTGCCATAGAACTTTCTTGATCTTGTAACATGACAACCTTAAAACAAATTCAAGATTGGCAACTGTTCTGGTTGATCCTAGACACACTCGGGCATATGAAATAACAGCTTAATAAGCTTGCATTTGGTTCAAGTATACTTTAGGTAGATAATCAAACAATGCTGCAAACCACTGCATAAGATGAGAGACAATCAAACAAGCTTACCACGATAATTCCAACCACCTCTACCACGTCCACCACCTCGACCCCAGTTGGAGTTCCATCCACCATTATCTACATGCAAAGAAAATTGTAGAAAATTAACAAGTATTAAAAACAATATTTTCTAAATACAATAAAAAATGTAAACTTAGTTACCCTGATCATGGCTATATCCACATTGATAGTTGCCATATCCACCGTTATTGTCATATCTTCCATAGCCACCATATCCTCCTTGATTGTTGCCATATCCACCCTGGTTATTGTCATATCCACCATAGCCACCATATCTTCTTCCCCAACCCCTCCCTCTTCCTCTTCCTCTTCCTCTACCTCTACCATGTCCTCGTGCATAAAAATCTTAACCAAGCATTTATAGAAAATCAATCAATACAACCAACATTAAAAAAATAATAGATCTAAGCTGTGTACCTTCATTAAGTTGAGTTTGTGGTTGCTTTGGTTGAATCTGCTGTTGCCATTGAAATTGTTGTGGTTGTTGATATCTTTGCTGATGCTTTGGCTGCTCTAGAGGTACTTGGTACCTACCAATGGAAGCAAAGAAATCCAAAGCAGATATCCTAACAAAACTTGCCAAGTGGACTATATTGGAAATGAAGCATGAAAAATGACAAATGGTTTACCCAGGGGAGTTCTTGTTTAGCTCTCTGGCTGACAAAGATATTGAAATCATTGAAACATGACGTGTCGTCTCCAAACTAAACAATTAAACTTCAAAAGTTTAAGGAAACAAACCTCTTTAAAAAGATTATAAAAGTAGGTAATTATCTATGAACATCAAAGCCAGCAAGAACTTAACGGTACAAGACCCTCTTCAATAGGTTCCCACACATCAGTAATACTGACCGAACTGATTGCAGTATCTTGATATAACCCAGGAATCCTTTTCTGCAATCAAATTACATGGGAGCTGAAGATTAATACAACTTCAAACAAAATTAAGAAAGAAGGATTTTTTTTCTAAAACCAACCTTTACAATCTCGGCGATTGCCACTGCTTTGCTGATTGCCTGTCCCATTGCCTTTAAGACAATCTCTCCAACATGTTTTTCCTGCTTGAAAAACCATAATGTGTAATCATCAAAGAGAAGAACTCAGGGTTCACATCTTCAGAACTTGCATGTGTATCAAGTCTCACTTAACTATCTACTCTGGGTCACAACAACTTAGTGGACTCACGCTCAACTTAGTGAGCCATGCGTATAAAATGAAAAGAAACTTTTTATAATCAGATTACTTATTCAACTTTGAAGCAACAGAAAGATGAAATTAAAAGAGACACTATGCTTTATGTAAATAGGTAAATATGTTTTTCATGCAGGGTCTTATTCTAGCAGCTAATTCTATTTGTGTTTATGAGATCATAATTGCTTCCTCTAGAAAACCTGTCATTTTGCCTTCTTCTAATTTTTCTTTTAACATGTTTAGAACAACTTTGGCATTAGTCCTTGGTTCAAGAGCTTAACATTGAACCAAAAAGGTACAAGTTTCTACTTTTAAGTGGCTTTTAAGATTCAAATTTTAAGGCACAACCTTTCTCAAATATATTTTACAGGATAGAATTAGTATTAGCTTAAGAGGACTAGTACCAGCTCGGTCACTTTTATCAAGACTTTGTTCACAAACTCTTCTTAACTCTTAGTTTAGCTCCAAAACTGATTAATGTCAAAAAAAGGATAAAACTAATGTTTATGTAGATGATTCATGCAAATAGAGAACTACATATGAATGAATGACTTGAAATATGAAACTCTTACAGACTAAGCCCACGAATGAAGCTCAAATTATTGAGCAATCACAATTAAAGCAGAAGCTAGACCCAAAAGTTTAACTTTTTGACCCGTATCAGTCAGCACAGGCAAAACTTCTCATGCCTCCACAAGGTTTTCACCAAAACCAAATGCATTTGATGATATGTACACTCCTAATTATATATGCTTGTCTCAGTTGAATCTTTCTTTTCTTTTATGCAAGGAAAATAAAATATTTGCAAAGTGTAGCTCAATCATATCCCATTAATTATCAATTTACTTCAAACCAAACTGATCCTCTTCCATCTTGAGCCCCGAAACTTCCTTCGAGAGACCACGTGTCCAAAAATGAAAAGGGAAGCCACAACACCCCCATCATCACCCATCCACCTGCTCAAAATGATTGATCAACCTACAAAAAGAATGTAACCAGTAGTAGATGCATGAATCTTTTTCCACATGTTATCTCTAGATACAGGGGTTTTCCAGCAATTGTACTTAAATGATTAGTCAGCACAATGTCGGCAAAGGACATGCCTATAGCATGTGGCTTTTCAACCATTATCCAGTGAGGGGTGTACTGGAGAGAATTAAATGCTTGCTAAAAATGGCTCAACTACACTCTTTTGCTATTATTTTCTTAAACAAATGATGCCAATGTGGTTCGATGAAGATTGCCTACTAATTATGTTGTCTGACAAAGAATAGATTATCCAAAAGAATATTACAAGTAATGAGATGGCAACTGGTGAGATACAGTCACGATACAAGTTAAAGTGGAAAGAAGAGACCACATGGCTGGTCAAAATAAGCCAATCTCAACAAAACAAAATTTTATCCTTCTGAAAGAAACAATCACGGATTTGCTGAATCTATTCTTCATGGCATACACATTAAGGTTCAAAGCTAAAAGAATGAAAATGCTCTGACCTAATAGAATCATGTCAAGAAGGATTTCTCCAATGGCAACAGCTTCATTATCAGCTGTGTACACGTACTTCCATCCATATATTGAGAAGATGAATTGTATACTAGACTTCCAACACCAGTTGTTACATGGTTAAAACATCCATCGAATTCCCAACCTCAGAAATCAACAACAATAATATCAGAATTATGAAGCAGTTCTCGAGATTTAGGATTGATTCCAGCCTCGGAATCTATGTCACTCTAAAGATAATGCCTTCCTAGGAAGAAGAAAGCCATGGGCCATTGGATCAAGTATAACAGAAATCACCATCATCAAAGGCATGAACACCGCTAACTAACCCTAAATCTCGAGTGATAGTTACAGAATAGGATCAGCGAGACACATACCAGAAGGAGGCTGGTCGCGTAGCTCACATAGTTGCGGATGATTCCCTGGCTGGTGATTCGGATCTCGTTCTCGTTGATGGCCGATTCCTGCCGCGGCTTCTCCACCTTGTGGTACCTATCCATGGCTCAAAGGGTGCTCCTCCGACGACGGGAAGCGAAGCCACAGGGACCGGTAGGGGTAGGGTTTTGAGTGGGAAGGGTTCTTCTCAGGTCGAAGCAAAAGTACGGCAAGCACAAAAGACACAATACAATACGTGTATATAATACACGTGTATGTATGTATGTCTCCATGTGCTTCTCAAACAAAATATTTTTTGTTGGTTTTTCTCATATAACCCCGTATTTTATATAATATATCTTTATGTGTGAGTGTCGTATATGTTATTTATATAATATTTAAAAAAATATTTATTTAAAGACATATAATAATTGTATTTAAATCTAATATAATCTGAACACAAATTAATTAATGTAATTATTTGTGAGAGTTAGGTTTACACCTACTCAGTGACTTAGTTAAGAAATAGCATATTTACCCTATATATTTTAGTATTGCATATATGCCCCTTTAGATATCAAATTCATACCTACAAGATACTTTTCTTAGTATCAAACCATCATAATAATCATAAGATTGAGATAATTAAAGAACATATAGGGATAATTTGATAATTTTGTAATATATATATATATATATATATATATTCTGATTCAAGACTTGAGGTATCGAGATGCTTCCACCCCAACGACACGCCACGAACCGCCAAGAAATGCTTTTCGCCACTTGCGACTAGTACTCGAACGTCTACCCGGTAGGTCCCGCGGAAGAATGCCGTGCCACCTCCAAGCACAAGGCGGGGCTTCGAGTTGGTTCATCGGTAATCCGACGCAGGAGTACGTGATGTTTTTGACAGAGCCGTTCCTACTACATTCTAAGAGACCAAAGCGAAGGCCATTAATTTCCAATGAATACCTCCTCACCGTGTTCGAGGAAGGCGGCGACGAGTCCACCGGCGAAGATCTCCTCCTCCTTCGCGATAGGACCCTACTGCTGCCTTTCCCTTCTCTCTCCCCGCATCCTACTCCTCCTCCTCTTCTTCTTCGCGGCCCCTCTTCTTGGATCGTCTTTCGGCCGAGCGGAGGGCGATTTCTTCGATCCTACCCGGGTGACCCAGCTCTCGTGGCGTCACAGGTGAGGAGCCTCTCGGCAAATCCCCCTCTTCTCCTTCTACCACATGGCCTCGATCTTTCACTCGGGCGGCTCTTGGTTGGTATCGCCTTTCTGTACAATGGGGTTCCTCTCCCACGATGAATGCGATCACCTCATCGCGTTGGTAAGAATGCATTTGACTGCCGTTGCCAGCTTCGGGATTTAATGATCTGCGTGGTGAAACCAGGCTAAGGGTAAGTTGGAGAAATCGATGGTCGCGGACAATGAGTCGGGGAGCGTGCGATGAGCGAGGTTCCGACTAGCACGGGCATGTTCCTTGCTAAGCGCCAGGTAATCAATCATTCAATGCTTCTGGACTTTCTGGTCCCTTTTCATTTTTGTCCGTGAATCTTGTCGATCGATCTCAAGCATAAAGATCCTTATTTTTTTCTTAGTTGAGTCGCTAAAAGTTCCTCCTTTCCAAGCTTCGAGTGCTGTTTAGATTTCAGATTAGACTCCTCCGACAACACATCCAATTTACATGGCAAAGACAAGGCAAGATAAAAGAGACTATGCACCATAAGGGAGATTGTCGACTGCTAACTTGAATATGATCACCATGACTGCTGATTTGTTGATGACGCTTTCCACTCTCCATCCCTTCAACTTTGTCTAGCAAGTAATTAGATTGATGACCCACCATTTTTGGAACAAATACCTATGTCTTTACTGTAGGAAATCTAAACTCTAAAATGAAATTCACCAAACAAATATAAAATGAATTTCTCATAATGTGTTCAAACACCAAGTAACTGTCAAACAGGTGGTATAAACCTCACCATTTGCACCATGAAAAAAGTTTCATGTTTGGGTGGCTATTTTGGGTGTTTCTTTTCACATCTATGGTTATTTAATATGATGCATTCTTGAATCACAAGCCTTAAATATTTCAACTGATTGCTGTTCCCTCTTCAGGTTTCCCAGATTAATATGTTACATTATTCTGCATGGGGGCTTGTGGAGTTGTAGGATACTAGTGAAATCCGTGGGGGTTGTCTGTCTTGCATTTCTCTTCTTCATAGACATAAGAGTAGAGCAGATCTAAGCAAAGGTATCTCAAATCAGATATTCTTTATCCAAACGACTGGCATGCTAGAACTGAGCTATAGCATGCTTGCAATGCATATAAATTTTCTAAACACTACCTGGTTTGGCTTTGATCATCCAGCTGGTTGCTTCGTCTGTTATGACCAATACAAGTTTCATTCGAACTGTTGGCTGACACCAAAAGCTAATGCATTTTTTTTATTTGAAGGATGAAATTGGTGTGAGAGAAGGATTGCGGCTTGGACCTTTCTTCCAGAAGGTTATAGATCTCCCTTCACAGTAGTAAATATTCATATTATCTCTTCCTAATTGTTCACACAATGGCCCGCCCTCTCTTCGACCTTTTACTAGAAAATGCTGAGTCCATGCAAATACTTCACTGTGAGCCACATTTTGATTATTTTCACGATCAAACCAATCAAGAACTTGGAGGTCACCGAGTTGCCACAGTATTGATGTACCTATCCAATGTTCAGAAAGACGGAGAGACTATCTTGCACAACTCAGAGGTAAGAATGCCACTAATGGTCACAGTGCAGAAGTCGTCTTATATCCACATTCTGCAATCTGATGCAAAAAATGGCTATTCGGGTAATTACAGATTCAACTCATCTTAGAGCATCTCATGATATATATTTCATGACCATCTTAGGTAAATGTCGTTTGATAGCTTATCTTGCTTCAGATTGGATATAGTAAATTTCTGTCTTAACTTCTGTTAACATCTGGGACTTTGATCGTTGGAATCGATCAAGGACAATCTAAAAAGTGTTTTGTCTATGACAGTTTGCATGGAAGCTGTCCTGTTAGAAGGCGAGAAGTGGTCGGCAACAAAGTGGATTCATGTGAGGTCTTTTGACAAGCCAGAGAAGCAGGGGTCAAGAGAGGGACGTGTAGATGAGAACGTTCTCTGCCCACAGTGGGCTGCAGACGGAGTGTGTGTGAAGAATCCTCCTTATATGGTAGGTAGGGTCAAATGACTCACCTGGATTCTGTAGAAAGAGCTGCCATGTATGCTCTTTGTAGGTCATTTTTTGTGGTATAGTCTTAGCATGAATATTATTTTGATTGTACTCATACCACTTACTAATGGCAAATGAAAAATACATGAACAGATTTTAATGCAGGCTTGCAATAATGTACTATATAGCTAATATTCTGTGTGTAATGCGAGAACATGGAATTCAAAGCTTCATCTATGATATGCTTCAGTTGATTTCTAACTGAACTTTTCAGAGTTCCAGTCAACACATGGTGCTAAAAAAACACATTAAAGGGAAACAGAGGCACAATCTGAGTAATTCAACCTAGAAACATCATTTATTTATTTCTAAGAATATTTTGTTACTGATGGAACATGAGAAAAATATGAGGAAAGAGACCATAATCAAGTTACTCAAAGGAAAAACGAACAATTAAATTTTTGGATATGCAATGCATCCATACAAAATAATATTATCAAAAAGACACTAGAAGAACTAGAAAGCAGAAACAATGCTGTTTAGATGACCTTTCTACTGCACAAGCCAAGGCCTTGAAGTTTTGTATGCTAGGTTCTGAATGCCAAACAGCAGAGGAAGGCAAGCTAGATGAGTCTTAACTCATATTCGCCAGCCATTGTGATGTACCGCACCCATGGAAGGGCTTGGTATCCACTCTTTTCGATAATTTTCAGATACCGGACCTAAAAAAAAGCCAAAATACAATGCATCCGTAAACTACTCGTCCATATAGTCCATCAGTTGTTGCAAAAAGAAGAAAAAAAAGGAACACCAAAATACCTGTATGCCAGATATGGTGAAGTATGGGATCTCAAACTTCACACGGATAGGAGCCTTTCTCTCCGGAATTGCATCTTCTGCAGTTATACTGGGAAGACTAAATTCTGCCCTACACATGTACTCCTAGAACCAAATGAGCATCATGAACAAACTGCCTAGGTTGTAAACTTGGATGGATGCCATCTTTTTATTTATCTGGGAAATAAAGTTGCATCTCATACCTTGCCACCAGGGAAAGATTTTATTTTCCAGACCAGTGCATCATGCTCAGGTGCATATGCAGCAGAACCCATGGATGTCCGAATGCTGGGATTGGTGGCATCTGAAGGTACAGGTAGCTCGATTTCCACACTTGTTGCGGTACTGTATGGAAATGAGATGATAACATGAGCTTGTTGGAAATTGATGGCATGAACTATAACAAGTACAACAGAAAGCGCTTTCATGTATGATAGTGAAAGTAAACTAGCACCTTCTTTCCTTGAACTGACTTCTTGCTTTCACCATCATCTCTATGCGACTTCTCGAGTGTCTGTCCACTTGAGCCTCAACCCAAATGGGAGGTTTTACCTAATTGACCAGGGTGACAAGGAAACATGAGTATAATAACTGATTGCAAAAAATATACATCAAACAAAATCCAAAAATTTAACTCTATTCCATACAAAATTGTAAATCCAGGGTAACCTGAGTGCTGAGTCTGTATGTCATTAAGTCAAAAGTTCCATCAGGTGGTATGAAAGATATTGTTCTGTCATTCTCAAACCGTGCCAGGCGTACACACCTTACAAATAGTACAAGTGTTCGACATTCAGTATATAGATGTGATCACATGCACCTCAAAAAGTGAGAAGACCACTTACTGGTGAAATTTGATATCATCTAAATCTATGGCTTTCCCCTTGGTTGTTCTACCTTGAGCTTCCAAAAGGACCCGGTCATTCAGCCCAAGTTTACATTCAGGCATTCCACTGCACAGATTAAGCATAATTTATTGGTATAGAAATCAATCTCCAGAATAAATGATAATAGCTAAATGATATTCCACTTATCATTCACCATGTGAACTTCTGCTTTAGTATTTTAGGCAAATCTGAAGAAGTTATCAAATGAAATTGTACTTTCAGGTGCACTACTTTAAAAAGAGAGAAAATTAAAAACACTTGTTTTTCAGAAGAGGGAGAAATACCATTATCCACGATAAACAGTTTCAGTGCACAAGTTTTCTTCCAATTGATGGGCACTTGATGCAAAAAAACTGAGACAATCTGTCTAAAATCATTTTCACCTATAAACAGTGATGGATACTTATACAAGAGTTGAATAATTGATGGTTGTATTCTTGTACATGAATTTGAATGTTAGTTCAAGCAGGAATTTTCAGTCAAATATTAATAGATATATGGTACTAAAATTTTCTTTCCTTATATAGTTCCATTTCTACCAAAGTAACCCAAAAGATTTTAATGAATTGCTATGTCTACCACAAGTTAAATTATCTGGGAACTGTTTCGCTCAGCATTCCAATCACTAGGAAAATTAAAAAAATCTTCTTTATAGAGACAAATGAAGGGTTTAAATAAGTCATGCAGTGTCCTTTCATTTTCATATGTTAATTCACGTCAAGTATGTTAAAGATACGACAATTATTTATAAGTTGATGGAATAAGTCAACGGACGAATTTGTACCCTTGTCCATATAAAGTATTAAAATAGTATCTTTTTCTTCATGGTCTCCATGCAATTTTACGTTAATATAAATATAACTATGGAATTTCATCAGTAGTCCAAAAGGACAATATGCTAAAAAATAGTGAGTAGCTTAAAAGGATATATAACATACAGACAGACAAACTTATAAATATTGTTAAACAAGGTGAAGAATCTAGGAAACATACTATTGAATACTTAAAGATGAAGGGAGAGATAAGGAAAAAATATTGCACCTCAAGTATGTTCTCATCTTCAATGCCCCAACAACATCTGAACGGATAATCTGTCCATTGCTGTTGACAAGAATATTGACACTTTCGACCACATCCAAGAACACCTAGGAAAGAAAGAAGAGAATCTACTTCATCACACAAGGTTTAGCGAACAATGACCAAAGGTACCCTTAAACAGGTATGAATGACCTACTTCATTTTTCTTGTACCGTATGCCTTCACTGCGCCACGAAACTGCATTTGTGACAGCCATTGGTGGCCTCTGTGTGACTTCCATTCTGTATGCATCTGTCTTAATGAACTCACTAAGAATCTTAGCTTCGGTGTATTGAGGATACCCAAAGTCCATCATCTCATCGAGTAACTCATACTGTTCACATTACACAATGGATTATTTTTTTCTTAACACAACTGAGACCAACCAGCATAAATCAAGTTATATATCCGATTTTCCACTTACCACAACAACAAAATTATCTCTTAAAGATTCCTCCTCCAGCTCTACGAAATAATGTTTAAAAACCTGCAATGCATATGATCAAATAGAAAGAAAAGGAGCAGTGATTTGAAAAAGAAAATAACCATGGATCGTTAAGAGAATTCACATCAACGACGCGATGAAGGAAGAGGAGGATGCTGACAGCATTGCAGTTCTGCCTAGCTGCCGTCATCAGGAACACGTTGTTGTGCTGAATGAACATATAACTGATCCCATCATCGAAGACCACGGGCGAGTGAGACTCGTGATCCCCCTGTCATCATCGAAACCAAACTCAAGATTAGATTTTTTTTTTCCTCGAAAAAATCGACGGAACAAGCCAGATCCATCAATCCTCCTTAAAGTGGACGGATCTAAAGGGAACGAGAAAGAGATCGAAGCTAGATACGGGGGTATACCTCTTTCTCTATGAGTTTGGTGAAGAAGCGCTCGGCCTGGACGGCGGAGACGTCCCCGCGGTAGTCCCGCCAGATGAGGACGCGGCCCTTGATGTCGAGCAGGAACAGCGCCGAGACGGCGCCCGCCATTAACGAGGGCGAGGCGGTGCCTTCCAAGGAGGGGAATCAGGATAGGAATCCAGATCTGGGCTCGCTACCCATTCTTGATCAGTCTCTCCCTCCCTCGAGTTCCTCCAATCGCGCGGGAAGGAAGGATCAAAGAAGAAGCCGAAGAATCCACCGACGCGAGAGAGAGAGAGATCTCGAGAGGACGTACGAAACGAAGCCCTCTTTCTTCCGTTTTTTCTTGCCAATACTTACAGTTTTGTGGGCGTGAGAAATGGGAGCAAAATTGGCAATGAACACATAAGTTGTCTCGTCAAGATTCGCGCGCGATCTTGATGTTCCTCGTTGAGATTCGCACTAGCGTTAAAACTAAAAGAAAGGGGGTAATTATAGCTTATCTATAGTTAGCTATCTTATCTTTAACTTTTTAAAATTGTATTGGCATTTATGTAATTAAAGTATCTAAGTTAGTTTTAATATTTTAGTTGATAGTGGTGAACGATGATATCGTTGAGAGCCAACAGTTGTGGATGAGAAGAGTGATAACAAGAGATGAGAGTCACTCTATATCCATATTTGTGTTAACATTTGTTTAAATAGTGACATAGTTGCTTAGCACTATATCGACATCGACGTAAATATAGAACGACGTCATTCAACATTTATATCAATGATCTTTTTGTCGATCAGTAATTACATCGATATCAACATAGATATAAACTAACGAAATAATTACTTGGTAACTTTATCAATGTCAGATGCAAAACGATCCTCACCTATCATTGTTATTCTCCTCATCCACAACCCACCATAAACTAGAACGTTAAGATTATATTTTATCATTTGTTTTCATGTTTGTATTAATAAAACTAATGTCATTAAGCTAAATAGATCTAAATATTTTAATTTTGTAACTATAGATATGTCAATATAATTTTTTAAAGTATAGAGATCGAAATATTAAAAATAATTAACTACTAGGGATATTTATAATTAGTCCTAAAAAATAAACTCAACGAAGATTTAATAGCAATAGACATACGTGGCATTACCTTAAGATTCACACAACATATTGATATTTCATATTAAGATCAGATTATATCGATTCGATTCGAATTTCAACTATTTAAAATCGAGTCAGTTTTTTTATGGATCCATCTATTAGAAAGCCAAACTCCAATCATGACTATCACTGCACCTCCTCTGTCTCCCCCTTCGTTCTTCGTCATCCTCTGTTCCCTCTCCCCCTCATTCGCTCTCGATGGAAATTGCAGAGGCTTACGACACCACCCGATTTCCCTCCTCCTGCCATTATGCTCTCTCCCACTCTCTCAACCTCCCTCTCCAACCCCGTCCTCTAACTCCCTATCGCCATCAGGACCCCTACTGACATGCTCCTCCCCTCCTCCTACGCCAAGTCCATCCTCGCCTTTGTTGTTCCAAACTCTACTCATGTCATTGCCACCCACGACTGCCTCAGAGCACCTCCGCTTCTCCGTGTGCCGCCTCTGCCATGTCGCTGATGTCATGTCCTTCCTCCTCGATAGACTTGACTCTGGTTTTGAATTCATCCTGTTCCAAATCCATCATCCACAAAACTGAAAAGCTCTGAAACCATGATCAAGTCTTGTTGAGATATGCCTTATAATTTAAACTAAAAAGAAACTTAAAGCTCGGAAATGATTCATGTAAAATGAGGATGTATGCGGAATGAAGCCAACAAAGATTGGATTTGGTGGCTTGGGGGTGTAGTTTATCTAATCAACATTAGTAATAATACCACATAAGATGGAAGATATGCTCGTTAAAATTGAAGCCCAGTAAAATGATTTCTGTTCTTGAGGAAGGTGTTAATTCAAAAAATTTAATCATCTTCTTGTCTAAATTCACATCTATTCTCAATCCGACTCAAACATCTGATAACCAAATTATACTGTGAATAGGTCATACAATGACATTTTTCAGATTAAACATGCACATATAATGTCTCATTTATCCTATCCGAAATCAACATCCCTAATTCCAATAATCTAAAATATCCTCATCAAAACAACATTCCTCATCGAACACATTTGGGAACATAACAAGAAGCTACAGTTCTCAGAGTAAATCTTGACAGAGTTCTACTATCTCAAAGAAGAAAAGTTGGCGCAAATGAATACACATCTTTGTGTTCATAACATTCCTCACTAATCAACAATGAGCTTGATGGTATCCCATTTTGAGCAACAACAAGCTTGTTTCTCACTCTGATTTTAACCCCCAAGGAAGGCATTCTGGCTCTAACGACGGCGATGAGCATTAATGTCAAATAAGATGACGTACTTGCTCGATAAAAATCGACATAGAACACTAATTTTGAGGTGCTTGGTCAACTCATCTGCTACATAATTTATGACATCCTGCATCAGAAACACACGAAAACTCCATTTTAATTACGATATGAGACTATGTCCATAGTCTGAAATCAATGCATTTGAAGCTTTGAAATAATTGCAGGACAATATAGATGAAGAAAAGGTACAACCAAGTCTCTACGGGCAAAAGTTCTAGAAATAAAGGAATATGACTTAATTCTACAATCTAGAAAAAAAAAATCAAGTAGTTTGTAATTGAAATAATGCAGCCAAAGCAGCTACCTATGTCAGTCTAGGCCTTGATGTCTGCGAGGTCTATTTCGGGTTGAAGTGGAACCAACAGTCTAGGCCTTGATGCCTGTGAGGTCTATTTCTGGTTGAAGTGGAACCAACTTTAGATAATCTGATTGAGAACCAAGACCTCAGCCGACTTATTTGATCATGTTTTACTCATCATATCAGATTCATCTTGCATGCATCCTGTTCAACTAATTTTGATAGTTCATACTTCTACCTTGCAAGTAACTAATTTTCAGTAAGATCACTTTTATCCAAACCCTAATCAGTTTTGGTGTCTGGACTGCACTTAGTATTGGTTTTGTGCCAAATTTGGCATGGTTTGGACTATTTAACAAGGCAGGATTTCTTGGTGATTGTGGCTGGATAATACAAGTAAAAAAAAAAAACTTAAATATGACATTAATCAGACATCCAAACCTGAAATAACACGGAATGAAACTGGCATTGAAACTGGGAACGGCGATGTCTAAGATGAGGGCTGTAATGGTTTTGCTTTGACGGTTTATGATTGTTTTACTTGGGATTTCTGATTATTTTATAATAATTAGACTATAGTTATAGTACAGGGTTGTTGGGTTCATAATAATACTATAATTACCTAAGTATGATCCATCAGCATATAACAGATATAAAGATTGATTCTGTCAATGAGAAAGCTCCACAAAATTCATGAATGTCACTATCCATAAAACTCTATTGGATACATCATCAATTTATTGCAAATGTACTTGATACAGAATAACCACAATCATCCATCCAGAGATGTATGGGATCCCTAGGATTTCTATGAATATATGTTTAAGCTATCTACATCTCTGAAGGCACATTTTATTTCCTACAGTAGAAAGCTTATTCATCTCACAAAACTTTTTTTTATTATGACCATGTCTGCATATCAATAGGCCATGAGTCCAAAACCATATGACATCATCGCAAGTTATCAGCCAAGAAAAAATGTAGATCTGGTTCCTCCCTGTTGCACTTAAAATTAATCATTCAGTGAGCCTTAACAACATGTAATTTTGAACCCTATATTAGTCGATTGCACGACTGCTCAGCACCTAAATTAAGTGTAAACAACCAACAGGGCCCCAGGACCTACAAATGGCATCGGTAGATAATTACTGTTATAACCAACAAGATTGTATTGATGTTGTGTGATTATTTAACATAGCTTCTTACCTAGTACATGACAGACTTCTGCACTGAGGCAAACTACCATCTCCTCCCAGATCTTAAGGCCAAAAGCCACTTGCTCTCAGTAATTCTTAGCCAACTCTTAGTTTTTATGCCATGTTCTTATAGGAGTTAAATATATCGACAAATTCCTTATTTATGTTGAGCTACATGATACATCTAAGAGAAGAAGAGTTACGACAAATTCACAATTATACATATTAAAGCCACTAGACTTTCATCTTTGAAGTGGAAAATAAGTTTTAAAGGTGGACACACTACTGCCAGGGAGAGTAACAGAAAAACAATCAAATGAGTCTTGAAGGCAAGGATAAATTTAAATATGAAAAACATGGATTACCTAAACAGTAGAGTCTGTTGACGGTTAATTGATCATGGTACACTTTCAGGTTCAGGCTTCGGGCACTCCTCAGAGTCAGAATCATAATACTCGCCACTCCATAGTTTTGGTTGCATCCTGTGCTCCATATCCTCATCTTCCTATATTATGTCAATTTCAAGTTAACATATATTTTTTAAAAGAAATAAAAATATGGCAGTAAATTTGGTTACAGAAGGGACGCACCTCCTCAGGAGCTTCTGTATCAGGTGGTCTTGACTGGAACTGCACACTAGGAGCATGTTCAATTTTCGAAAGGTAATCCATTAACATATTCCTGCAAATGACAAAAACATAAACATAATTGATAATGAAAAAGAACAAAGAATGGACATTACAACAGCAAGATTGACTCTAAGAAACTGTTGCTTCACACAAAATGAGGCACCAAGTATGAATAAAGACTGACTTCTTTTGTTAGCCTTTTTTGTTTTTATCATGAAAAAATATCTATGTTGCTCTAGTTTTCTTTCTAATAAAGGAAGCATCTCCGCCAACATGTGCAGTGCATAAGACAAGAAAAACCGATTCATAATCAACTGCAGATAAATGATGAATTAGTAGATTCAACCGAATAGCATATTTACAGAATATATAAAAGATGATATCTTGGCATGTAACAGATGTATTTGTAGCTGACAATTACCTAATGTCCTCCAGTTCCTTTGGTGAATTTTTATTCTCCATGCTTCTTGGTCGAATATGAAGATCATAGTCAGGACCAAAATACTCGTAGTATTCATTGTAAGGCAACTGATTGTCAGGTTCCACTCCAATTGCAACTGCTGTCTGCAAACGTTACATGTTCTAATAAAAAACAACTCCAATTACAGATGTAGATTCAGTGATCAAAAGCTATATCAAGCACAACCTCATAGCACCAGCAGCGAGCAACATTGCGCATTGTATAGCCTCCACCTCCCAGAACCAACATTGGTACATTGAAGGATCTAAGGTATCGTAGACAATCTGCATGCCCCTTCACAGACAAGTTAAAGCAACCTAGTCTGTCTCCCGCCAAAGAATCAGCACCACACTGGAGAACAACAGCATCAGGCTGATAAACTGCCATCACCTTTTGGATGATAGGCCTAAAAAGCCCCCGAAAACTCTCATCATCCATCCCATCATTTAGAGGAACATTTAGAGCATAGTACTTTCCTTGCCCAAATCCGACGTCCTTTATATGGCCAGTTCCAGGAAAGAAGTCCCCATATTTGTGGAAGGACACAGTCATGACTCTGTCAGTCGTGAAAAATGCCTCTTCAACACCATCTCCATGATGGATATCAATGTCCACATAGAGAACACGCTGTCCAACAAACAAATTAGTGCAAGTACATAGAATACAAAAAAGCATATTACAAACAACAAAATCAAAAGTGATTTATTAAATGACAGATAAGGTCCCCGTAGTTACTATCATTCCACATCAATAGTCATGACAAAAGAAAACGAACTTTGCATGTGAACATGATAGTACATTCTTATGCTCCATAATTACTAAAGTAATATGTCCAAACGGATAAAAAGATGGAGTTTATTAGAAGAATGAACTCGGATCAACTGTGTTTGGGATTTGGCACATTAGTTAGTTCGTTCCGTGGTAACTTGGTCAGGGCCTCAAATATCATAAGCAACCTTTTGAGTGTGAAGTATGACTGTACATATAACCATTTCAACTAACAAGGAAATCTTATTTAAGGACAGATGCTACAAAACTATGGCAGAATCAAGAACAAAAAGATTATTTCCTTGCAGTTTTCCCATGTCACAATCATGATGTCTAGGGGAAGAATAATCCTGACTTCTGTGCATAAAAGAAATGGCTTCCGATCTCACAAGCACCCTTCTGCATGTTGAAGTATGACTGTATATCTAACCATTTCAACTAACAAGGAAACAATATGAAGTGTAGGTACAACAAATTTGAAGGATATGTTAAACATATTATTTTATAGGCATCCAGAGAGTAGCATAATTATGGTGGATAAGAGAACATTGCAGTTAACTAACCAAATCTACTACGAGAGCCATTAGAAGTCATTACACTTGAAGATGTTGACAAAATAAACTGACAATCTCTTTACAAAATGATGGCCACAGGTCCAAGTGGAACTGTGAAGGTCATGAAGGTCTGCATGGACAGGTCAGATATTACATGCCTAAAGTTCTTATGAGATTTTCAGTGTTACCAAGACAGCCAAGGTGCAGAAATCAACAAACACGAACATTGTCTATCATCAAGGACTCACATATAAAAGCAGTAAGAGTTTGCTATAATTCACTAAACATGAAAACGAACAAGAAAATATGATAAATTTAGAACTACTAAAGATATAATCGAGTAAAGTGCCACTTTACCATTTAATGTCCAAAAATTACAGGAAAAGGGGTTTCCTTGAACAAGTCCTAAAGATCATCAAATGTGTTTCTCAACCACAAAAAATGGCATTCCAGTTACAGCAAAATAAATACAGAATATAAAAATGGAAATAGTTCCAGAGTTTCCAAATCCATATTGCAGAAGGTGATATTATGTAGTGTTGATCAACCAAAGAGATGACAGAGGACTAGCAAGTGCCAGATTATTATGTTATCTAGCATCCAATGTTTTGCTGATCTAGAGCCTAGCACAAGATGATATCATGTGTTTGTTTTGATCAAAACAAGGCGAGGTCGAGGATCGATGTAGCATCTTTGTATGATGCAACACAGTATCAGTTAAGTGCTAGGAAACAGGTCACCAACAAGCATCGATATGAATGTTTAAATTTCACTGCTAGGCTACCAGCTGATAATAGAAAACAAATTAAAAAAAATTATGACATTGTCGACCCTCGACTCTTGCTTTATCTACGTTTGAATTAGTGAGACAAGGTACACCTTACGAATTAAAAAAAATTGGAAATTAGGAAAATACATATAAAAAAAGCTGGGATTACTAACAAGAGGATGCTGAGATGACTTATGTGCTTACAGTTCAATTATTTTTTACGGTCAAGTGTCAACCCAAAAATGAATTGAAAGAGAGAATTGCATTAGATGGCTAACAAACAATCGAAAATTTTAACAGATCTTAAGGGAATTATCTCTACCAATTAGTTTGAACTTTATAAAACATTTAAAAGTGGTTTTAGTCGAAGACAGAACAAGGGAAAATCATTTTATGTGATATGGACATGTAGAAAGGAGATTTATAAATGCACTGGTTGAACTTGTGAGTCAAATAGGGTCAGGAAAGCAAGGAGGGTAGAGGAAGACCAAACTTCTAGAAGCAATGAAAATATATTTGATGGATCTTAACCTAGCACCGATAGAGCTCGATGGCAGAAAAGAACTAGATCTTCAAGATAGCTGGGACCTTAGGCCTTAGTTGTTGCATTTGTTGTTGATGCAAGGAGAAAACATACTAATAATAAAATCTAAGTAAATGGCAAGAAATTGAAACAAAACCTATTATTCCATTTTTAAATGCCAGTTAGAGCTCAAGATGATCATACTAACAACATTTTAAGCAGATAAGAACATAAAACATAGGATCAAGTTAAGGGATGTCTGAAATATGTAAAAGGATACGACATTCTGAACAGGAAAAAATGCAAGGAAAATAAAGTTTCTTCAGAAACCATCCCTCTGCGTTTTACTTTGTCAAGATGCCCTACCAAATATCAAGTGCTACCCAGCATAATCGAGCTATTTAAGGCTCAAAATTTTCAGATCAATTGGTTCTGTCTGAAATAGGACATAAAAATAAGTTTTTTAATTTAAAGATTCCAATAGAAAGGGGTACTAAAACAAATATAAAACCTTATTTCCTCGTGACCAGCTTAAATCTCCAATAACTACTGATCTCAGAGCAGTGGTTTATAACAACGGAAGACAGAAGGAACATCAATCAACACTAAACCTAGTAGAGACTTACCCTGTGGTACTTGAGGAGCTCGAGGATGCCGAGGACGATGTCGTTGACGTAGCAGAAGCCAGAAGCCTCGCACTTCTTGGCATGGTGGAGGCCGCCGGCCCAATTGATGGCGATGTCGGCGTCGCCGCGGTTGATCTTGACGGCGGCCCCGATGGAGCCGCCGGCGGAGGCCTGACAGAACTCGAAGAGGCCATCGAAGACGGGGCAGTCCTCTCCGACGTTGAAGCGCTTGAGTTGGCGGGAGGAGGCGGAGGCAGAGGCGGGGTCGGACAAGGGCTGGGCCTGGGCGGAGGCGAGGGCGGCGGTGGCGGGGGACACGGAGGCGAGGAAGTCGACGTAGTCGTCGGAATGGAAGCGGCGGATGTCGGCGGCGGAGGCGGGGAAAGGGCGGGAGACCTCCATGAGGCGGTGGAGGGCGTAGTGGACGACGAGGTTGTGGGCCATGCGGATACGGTGGGGCTTCATCGGGTGCCCCTGCCCGTAGTAGTAGTCCCCGATGGTCGGCTCGTAGAAGTAGCTCACCCGCCGCCTTCCCCCGTCCACGCACGACGCCGACGCCAGCGACGCCCCCTCCCCGCCGCCGCCGCCGCCGCCAGCAGCCGCCCCCCCCGATGACGACGCTATCGTCATACCAGTGAGGTCGCTGGACTCGAGCTGGGCGAGGCGAGGCTTTTGGCTCAATGGGATTCGGGTGGTGGCGGCTAAATAAGAGGGAGAACAGATCAAAGGACACCGGTAAGTAAAACCATGGGCGCGTTGGGCTGTGTTCTAAAGACTCACTCTTTTAGTCTCTCTCTCTTTTTTTTTTTTATGATCAAATAATACACAATTGATTTAGGATGATCAATAGATTTTTTTTTCATAAAAATAGATATTGTTATCAATTTAATTTTATTTTTTCATTCCATACAATAAATTCCTTCTTTTTCTAAAGTCAGAAAATTTTATAATTAGCATTTTATCATATTAGAATAATTTTTTTCTTAACAAAAAGTGCATCCAAGGAAATAAACTTTCAATGAGTAAATTTAGAATAATATAATTATGTGATAAAAATTAATTATAAAATTAAAATTTATGATCTATATCATAAATGATATATCGTTCGTTCTAACGGTGTTCAAGAAGAGCAACGATAAAGGAAGAAAAAAGAGTATAGTCTCCGTTATCTTTTGACTTCAAAATTTTTGCTTCCATCACTAGATAATGCTACCACGAGGTTCTTACTTTCAAGCTTATAGAACTTATTTGTTACTCTTTAAACAATTATTTTATATTGAGAAAAGCATTTGAAAGTTTTATTTTAATAAAAATTGCTTCGACTCATATGTTGGAAGATGATCATATTCTGCACTAAAAACCAAAAGAAAAAAGACAAGATGTAAGACTTATCAATTTAGTAGCTAGAAATTGAGTTTACAGCACCAACTGTTGCTAGGAGGTGAGCCAATGAATGAATCTCCAATCAATTTAGGTTAGGGAATTAATATACATAACCTTATCCATGCAAGCAAAGAATTAGGCAAATTTCACCAAACATATCAGTCAAAAGCTTCATTAGTTTTTCATAACCCAAGAACTGTGTACAGAAACATGGAAGTTGTTGTATCAGCACAAAGAGATTTCATGGAACCTTGCACAAGGAAAATAAAAGCCAAAAAAGAAAAAAATTGGACATGGATTAATCTTAATATTGGTGTGAAACATCCAAACCCTATACTATGGCCAAATATGATATGTTATGCTGCCATTGATGATCCAAGAAGTGGATACAACCTAGGCAGTATCAGAAACCAAATCAAGGATGGGTACTCCCAAGACATGATGATTTCAGATGAACATTGCATACTATTTCTAGCAGCCACTTTCTAATACAAGTTCTCTTCACCATAAACATCAGTGATGACAATTTGATCGATACATATCTTTGACAAGGCTGCTGTTCATCGCATGAAGCCACTGGTTCCAGTCTCGACACGAAGACTGTTTTCCCGCCTATAAAGAGCTTTAGCACCCTGATTAAATGAAAGATGATGTTTACTTTAGACAAACTTCATCAATTATAACTAGAAGAATCACTAGCAGGGTAAGCTCATCTACATTGACAATCTCTGATTGATATTGATTCCAGGTCATCTTCACAATACTTAGTTATCAGATGACAAAGAGTTGCTTATAACATATTTGAACAAATGTCCTATCACCAATCTTTAAAGGATCAAGATGTAAACTGAATGATCACAAAGCATAAGTAACATGGGATTGAATGATGAGTTATTCACCAACAAATAGTGCTAGAAAAATTCTACTTTCAGATAAGATGGTAGCACCTTTTCCAAAGCAAAAACAAAGGGGATAAACAATAACAACAACAAGTTGTAATATCTCAACCACTTAGGATCAACTACATGGACTTTTTACCACAATTGAGATCAATACAAGTTAATATCCTTAGTTACATTAAGAGAAATTAAATAGATATTTATAATTTCTAGTAAATACCTCTGAGGTCTCCATTGAACAAATGTCCTATCACCAATTTTTAAAGGATCAAGATGTAAACTGAATGATCACAAAGCATAAGCACCATGGGATTGAATGATGAGTTATCCACCTACAAACAGTGCTAGAAAACTTCTACTTGACTAATATTTTTGTCTCAGCTCTTCTATCTATACCATTAACTAATATCTTTTACTAATTTTTCTTTTGTTTCAAAGCAAAAACAAAGGTGATAATAAGCAGAAATAGAGCTTAAGAAAGGGAAGCAGAAAGCACTTAAGAAATATTTTTTTCAAAAGCCACCGGTTTCTATTTATTATTCTTGGTCTTGTCTAGTCTAAGCATGCCATTGAGCTGTCCAGAAAAGCAGAAAGCAGCATGTAAACGAGAGCTTGTTTTCTAAAAATTTCACTTGCTTGGAAAATTGTTCCCAACTTCTTCAACGCCTTGGCTCGCAACTTCAGCACGTCCTTGGAAACACTATTATCTTTGAGAACCTGAACTCAATCAGACATTTAAGATAAGTCAGTGGAAAAATCTAGAGCACAACCACTAACTCCGAGTATATTGCTGACACACAAGCTCCATATAAGCATTTAAAATTATTTATTTTCATCTGTTTGCCAAATGCATTGCAACATGTTGCATGAACATAAAGCGTAATAGAATTACTTCTTGGCAGACGTGTGAAAGTGTTGATTCTATGTCGAGTACGTTTATTTTCCACAAGGAACTAAGCATTGCATCCTTTTTCTCTTCAATGTTCATCGTAAGGTCCTTGTCGTCACTTCCTTCTGTCTTTTTCATCCCTTCCTGAAGCTGTATTAATGCAACTGCACCTAAAATAAGAAATAATTTGCACAATGTCAAAAGGAAGCACATAATGACATGATCATAGAAAGAACAAAAAGTTGCTACAAACCAAGTACCTGATGCTGCATTAACTTGTGATTTAACAAAGTGGCCCTTATCTCTTACCCACTCAGCTACAAATGGCATGCCCATGTATCGTCTGCTCTTGCCAATTTCTCTTGCAGCTTGTCTGGCATATATATATCCAATAGTGTGGAGCATAGCCTCCCCAAAAGCTAAAATGTAGAGGTTTCAGTTTCGCAGGTGTGTTTTAAGGAAATGCAGAAAATAAATCTTTATAACGGGGACATGCAATTAGCAGTTGCAATTTCAAAATTCTTTGGACTCCTTCAATTGTGGGCTGACTATCTAGATGGTTACCTAGCACCTTGATGATGGGTTAGCACTGTTAGCTGCTTGCCAGTGATCTACAGAGCATTAACAATGTACTAGATGAAAGGGGAAAAAATATTACAGAAGTCACACTAATATCTTCACTCAATAAAAAAAAAAACATAATTTTCTTCTTTCTCTCTCCCTCTCTCATTCAATTTTTTTTTCTTCTGATATTGTTTCTCAGCCCCTTCTCTACCTTACCTGGTTATTTTTGCCATTCAACCCTATTAAGTATTACTATCCTCTTCCTCCTGAATTACATGTCAGAGAAGTGATGCAGAAAGGAAAGAAACAAATAAGAGTGATAGAAGTTTTTAAGCATTTTACCAGCTCGAGATAGATGACAAGCTTCAGAGTTTGCCCAATTAATGAACTCCTGTTCTTGCCCAGTCACATATAGATGAAGACGATCTTTCAAACTTTGGACTAGTTTCTGTTCCCTTTCTTTCTGTAACTCCTGCATTTGGAGTTTAAAAGTTACCATGATAAAGATCTATTAAATAAACAAAGCTTGTAAGGGAAGTGTACATACTTTTGTTATAACATGACAGATGTATTACATCAACATTCTCATATTGTCTATCCTAGAAAACGTCAAATGATTATTCATCAAAAGGAATGTACAGTATGTTAATAAGACATTTGAGCCTTGATGGTTAGATGATGAACAACTGAACATGCTGGACCAACGAATAGTTTATCTTATTTTATTTTATTTAAATGATGGTGATGCAATAAATCAGCCTGACATCAAAGATGGAACTATAAAAAAGGGTGTCTGAAAATGTTTATTTAATAAATTGTAGTGATAGGGATCTCAAATTGAATCAGATCAAAACCACAATGAGTTTCAGAAAGCACATTAACCTCCTTAAGACTTTATTAGAAAAGATTTAAATCAGTCATATAGAAGTCTATCGAAAGTAACTTGGGGATGAAGAAAGTTCCTCAACCTTAGCAGAACCATGGACTGCCGTTTCACCCGGACCGGTTTGAGTCTGGTCATGAACCAGTAAATGGACCGCTCATGCGGTGCCCGTCTCAGGTGGTGTGCTCTGATGCATTAAAAAATTAATATGATGTATGGCTCATGTTCATGAGCTCTCTTCGCCCATACATGAGCCCTCTCTGTGCTTGTCTCCTGCTGCTGCCCGTTGTTCGCTGTGGAGCACCAATGGGTATGCTTCCTTTATCCTCCTCTTCTTCCTCCTCTTCCTTTTCATCCTGCTTTTGCTTCCTCCTTCCCCCTCCTATTCCTCCATTGCCTCCTCTCCTCCTCTTCCTCCTCTTTGTCCACCACCTCTTCTTCTTCCTTTCTCTTCCTCCTGCTTCTTCCTTCACCGCCTCCTCTTTTTTTCCTTCCTCTTCCTTCCTCCTCATTCTTCTTCCTCCACTGCCCCTTTGAAGGATATAAGCATATACATATAGAACTCAGGAAGAGAAATATAGTAGAAAAAAGAAGCACATTGATATTGTTGTAGACTTGGTGACAGTTATTTAAGAGTTTACCAACATTATTTCTCACATGCTTTTGCATACTCTGATTAAAGCAGTCAAATGGGATATCAAGGTTGCAATAAAAAAAAAAGGTATACAAAAAGACAGAATAATACAACTGGGTAAATAAAATTTGCTGGACAAGCTGCCTGACACTAACTATACCTTAATTTTCTCTTGCACTCTTTGTCTCCGAGTTTCTAAAACCTGTGATTCCTCAGCTTCTATCGAAGCTATGGTTGCTAAAGCTAGCTGTCCAACATAATCTTCAAATAGTTCACTTCCAAAAACCATCCCAAAGACAGCAGCAGGATCTACCATGGAATCCCTGAAATACAAAATGCATTACAACATTAACATCTGTAATAAACAAGGTGATTTAAAATAATAGATAGTTCAGGGTAATATGCCTACTTTAATAGGTCCTTTTACAAACAAACTTAAAACCACAGATCAATTTAGAAACTTTATGATTGATGTGTTCCACACAGATACACATTAATACATTTTAATGACATTACAACTATTTTGTTTCATCTACTTACTTGGGTACACCCTCCTTTCCATGCTTATCATATTCTTCCCGTTTTGCAGGATCACTCAGGACTTGATAAGCCTCACCAAGTACCTTCACAACAAAGGCTATTTGAATCAGTAATGAGGAGGTAACAAAGAGGCATATGCACCTTCAGGACTTAATCTAGTTCGATCTGTTTCCATCAGCAAACCAGTTTTGGCTAACTCCTGAAGGTCTAAATCCAGTTTGTCCCATTGGCTCTTAGCATATCACGTTGCATAAATGGAAGGATGGCGCCGGTGACTTTTCTGATGACCCTACTATGGAAGAAGATCTAGTGCCTATTTTTTATGTGGAACAAGAAACACATTTCAAAAAGCATCAGATGCAAAAAGAAAACAAGCTTTTAACGTTTGGGGTTTCTTTGAAATACTTTATTTGGATCTAGGTGGAAAATGAATGTACATGCAAGAAGTTGGTACTGACTACAGCGCAAATAATAAATATAGAATGAGCCTATGAGGAATATAAAACATCATATGGAACAATGCAAAAAGAAAAGGCATTTAGACCAACATCTCAAATGATAGAATCTACATTAATAAATACCTTCAAGTTTGATCTCAGACAATGTGAATTGGCAACTGCAGAAAAATTTGAATATGTATTGCCAGTTAAATTTGTTAGTATGAGGACATGAAGTTAAGAATCAGAAAGAATTTTGCCAGAATAGGTGTGGTTAAAATGCACAACAAAGAGAAGAAAAGACTTGAGTTGTTTCAATTTGCAGGAATTACTTTGACATTGTATTATAAACATCCATCACCAAAATGGAAATTCCTTGCAGGCCACTTCATTGATGAAAATAGGTTGCTACAAGAGAGAATCTTGAACTTTTATTGTGTGCCAAATCCAAAAATATTATAGACATGTGCAAAAAAAAATTTCATTTCATTAATTGAATGGAGTACTGAAAACTATTACATCGGTTAGCTCTAGACAATGCTCTCACAAATTATGTCTTTGTTGATATGTCAAAAGTTCAACCAACATAAAAATTTCATGCAAGAGGTTCATGAGATCTATAGACAACAAGGAAGCAGTGTTAAACATGTTTCTCTAGAGAGTGATGAAGGCTTCTTTGTCAGTTGTTCCCCACAAGATGGAATTAAAACTTTAAGCGCTATATTTAACCATTATTCTTCATTTAGTGTTAAGTGTCTTAAACTACAAACGCCATCCTTACGAGGTAGAGTAGCAGAGATGTGCAGGTTCTTGTGTGTATTCTATGATGTCACTTGTATATTATGTAAAACCATGAACCAATAGCAAACTTAATAGTTCCCAGATGCTTTCATGATTCAATAACTATACAACAAGAGACACAGTTTTCAGATGGGTTTACAAAGAGAATGAAATGCCTACGATGCAACCAAATTAACATACACAATACATTTAATGATTAACCAATTCCCGTAAAACTCAGATGATCAGAAATCACAGCCGTTACAATCCTGTCAATGAAATTGGTCCACTGCATAGCTTAAGGCTCAGATTTGATGCTTGTTAACTAGAAAGCCTAAATTAATCACAAAAGAGTAACTACTTACATTTGCCTAAAGGCATAATTGTTCGAAGCATGTTATAAGTGAAGTTCTATCAATCTTAGTGGTTACCAAAACAAAATAAAGCACCTGGAAATTATGAGCAGCTTGTGCATCTCCTGGATTTTTATCTGGGTGCACTGATTTTGCCTACAAAGGAAATAGATAGATATTATCAACTCTCAAAGATCATCCTAGTACTCATTTGGAACTAAAATAGGTAAATGGAAAAAAAGCCTACGAAAAATTCAGTCATTCAAATTTTAGCATCATGTGATACGAGTATACATTTGGGACAAGAAATTTACACAAGAACACACAAATAAACAAACAACATGACAAATCCATTTTGGCTTATTGAAGTGCAATGTCATGAATAAAGCCCAATAATGTGAGGGAATAAGGATACCATATTACATATAGGAAAAAATTAGAGTGTAAAAAAAAAGGCAAATGTTTACAGTTTAAGCAATTGTCAACTATGTACCACTTGTATTAAGTTATCTACATTCTTATATTTTGGCTTATGCATCTTGTATTTAATGACCACAAGAAGTAATAGAAGACCCATTACAGAATGACGTGTGTAGGCTATTAGACACATGAAACTTGGGTCTGTTTTCTCTAAACAATTAAAACCAGCTCAAACATACTAATGAATGAAACAAGAAAATACTATACAAATCATCAAGAAATCAAAATTCTAGAAGTGACACATGTGAAGGTCATGCATTACTTCAGATAATAAAAAATAATCGATATTTTAAAAAAGTATGCTCAAGTGACAAAATGGTCAATATCAGACTTACTCTAGTTTATGCAGTTTTAGAAGGGCTATTAGTGCTAGCAATTACCTAATAAACACAGCTTAATTGTAATGCTAAAATGTACATAAGTCTGATAACCCTTAGTAGCAGATAAGTATTCCATGTCTCCACTCAAGCAAACATAACGATCCACCAAGAACATATATAAGGCGGTTGAGTGTCACAAAAACCGACATGGTCAAGGAATAAAAAAGGTTCTATTTTCGCGTTAAGGTGATCAAAACAAAACTTAAGTCGTAGACACAGAGACTCATCCCTGAATAGAGTCAACAATTAAAAATTCATGAAAGCTTAATATAGCTAAAGGTAGTAAGACGTTAGAGATCATAAGTCTTGACAATGAATTTTTCATGTAAGAGAAAATAGGTGAATTACATGGGTATAATTTTGGTTTGAATCATCAAATTCATGAATGATTGACTAGTTATAGATCAATTTGGTTGTGACAGAGTTCCACTAAATTTTTTTTTGTGAATAACTCACTTTTGATAATGTGAACCATTCCTATAAAATAGAGGGTTTTCCTAATATGCTACGAATCAGTAATCTTGCAAATAATTAAAACAACTTTTTAGGGAATCAATCAAAACAACCAACAAGAATAACTATCAGAAAAATATTTCTTGTCACCTTGAGGTAATAGGCTTTCTTTATCTCAGCAGAAGATGCATCAACGCTGACGCCCAAGATATCATAGTACTCGGTGTCTTTCACCATGATCCTAAATTCTACCTACCTAAAACACAAAATTCCAGCGGTTATATTAGTTTTCACTCAATATATCAAACCGTCACATAAATCTACAGATTATATTGCATTTCACACATGTTAGGTCAATAAAACTTCCAACTTTAAAATACAGAAATATCTTTCTCGTTTTCGAATTCAATTCCCAAAACACACATCAAGAGAACCCAGAAATCTTCAAACGAGGAAATCCAAGAAAAATATCACGGAAAAAAAATCACCAAGAAGATCTCCCGCTGTCGCAGACAATGCATCAGATCAATAGCAAATAACAAGAAATCGAAGCCACGACTAAGGACGAGAAGCTGCCGAAGAAACAACGAGATCCAGGTTTACCTAAAATCAAAGAGCAAAGTTAAAGATTTGGTATCAGAACAAGATCAAACCATTCGGAGAACGGAGAGAGAGAGAGATTGGGGAGGTGATAGGGAGGAAGAAACGGGGAGCTCGAGAGCGCGGCGAACAAGAAGCAACAACGCTTCCCGTGCAAAAGAGACACGTGCGTCGTGGACAGAACACCACCGTCATACCGGATGGGAATTCAAACCTGTGGTCGCAGGCAAAAATGTTACATAACGGTATCTGAGACCGTCATATTTGCATATAATAAAACCCGTTATAATCTGGTGTCGCCCGTCATAATGGCATGATTAAAATTCAATCCATAATTATATATATATATATATATATGGATTTTGTGATGCAAAATACACACCCTTTTTAATATGGAACTAAATTATATATCGCCCAGTAATTAAATATTGGAAAATCAATATTATATGATGCTTCTTTCTATTTCATGTTAATTGCTACACAAGGTGAAATCCTCACAGAGCTAATTTCGAAAAAAAAAGGAATAAATAAATTAGGATATATTTAATGTCAAAATAAAAGTAAAAGAAGAGCAACAATCCACTGTATTCATAAACCATTGTGCATTTCTCATACTCCAAATGTTTGATGAACACAAAGAACTCATTTCTTATCTGTATCTTGAATAGAAACTTGTTGTGATGTTGTCAGTGCTTTTGCTGTGTATTCCTCCAGTAAGCTCTTCTCCTCTCAAACTCTCAGTGCCACCAAAATCCCCATTTAATAGACTGCAAATGGAAACAAAAATAATTCATATGCTTTCATCATCACCTTCTTACTCCAGCAAGAGCTCTGATGTTACTCAACATGCAGCCACCTTATTAAGAGCAACAACAGATGATTTCATGATCCCACCACAGTTAGGTAAAGCTGGTGCAGTGTGATCCTATTGCAAACCACCACCTAAATCACCCACTTCACTGCTTTTATAGCCTTCAAAGTCTCCTTTTCAGCAAGCATTTCCACAACAAGAAGGAAGTGGCACAATTGGTTGCATGTACAAGTTAAAGGGGGGCAAAAAAGCTGTAAGGAAGCATCTTTTTTCTGCTTGCAAATTGCTCCAAGTAATTTCCATGCATCTGCATCAGTGCATTCAGTCAGGATTAGACAGATCATTCAGAATGTGAGTGAGTGAGAGAGAGAGAGAGAGAGATTAGACATACATATATATTTATATTTATTTAGTCAGATAGTGAGAAATTTGCAGAAATAACAGCAGATATTATTCTTAGATTAGACACCAACCAGAACCTGTCACAGAACATACCTCTTTAGGACCCTTAAAGCAACTCAAGACCTTTCATTAGATATGCCACAATGATCCCACAAAAAGGTCTCCAAAATACATTATGACAGAAGTAACACTTGACACACAGGGACACAAAGACCACAACATTATGACAAACACCACTCTCTCAACCGCACCACCAATGCCTTCTTTTGCCTGTCAATAATAGAACATGTCGTCTGCTGCGGCCGTGATGGGCTGATTCATGCACGCGAAGCTCCACGGACCGATGGAACCGTCCATCATTTGGTGGTCGTCGTGCAAAACGACATGGCGACTGATGTTGATGAAGTGGAGGATCTCATCAAGAGACCGTAGCCTGCTGCCGAGCTCCATCGCCTGAGCCCTCAAGACACAGTTCTCAGCCTCCACCGCAGCGTAGTGCTGCTTGGTGATGTTGAAGGTTGCCAGGATCCGGGTGTTCTCCTCCCTCAGCTGGTTCGCCTGTGCCATCAGCTTGTCCAAGTGATTCTGCTTGCGCATCCTCGATCGCCTCGCGGATTCGCGGTTCGATATCATCCGCTTCAGCTTCTTCTGGTCGATCACACCCCGCAAGTCTTCTTCCGAACCGGAATTCTGGAGCTGGCTTGATCCAGCGGAAGGAGAAGCCATGGAAGAGTAATCTGAGCTTGTTCTCGTGTTGTTTAGGAAAATATTAGATCTTTGGTGGAAAACTTACGTAGATTGGTCACAGAAAAAGAACCAAGAAATCTAGGAGATTACAGGGCGCGCAGATCTCAGAACAAGTTCATGAGAAGACATAGAACCAGTAAAGAAAGACGACGGAGAAGGATTGAACGAGATGGGTCCTGCGCCGGAGTGTGGAATTTATCATAAACCCTGACCGGAGGATCTCACTTAGGACAGGCGACATCAATGAGAAACATCAAGAGAAAGATATGATTCATGTGAGAACAGAGTGAAGAACCTCCCTTGTTCCAGCTCCAACCAAGGTGGGATTTTTACACCAAGGATGAACCAAAGGCCAGATTTTTATGATGGTTCCTTGGTTTTCGTCTCCGAAACAGTAGTTCGAGAGAAGATTTGGGCAGAGTTTCCCCCAGAGACGAACAAGAAAGCTAGTTAAGCAGATGGACTTTGGCCTGTTGATGGACAACCGAGAGATTTGCTAGAACAGAATACCGCCAGAGGCAGTGAGAGAACGGCGGAAGAATGCCAAAGAACAGAGCAGCATAACTTCAATAGAGCTAAGCAAGGGAGAAGAGGAGAAGGGGAAAAGGGAATTGGAGCCTAGGAGAGGGGTGCAATTTATAGAGCAAAATGAAGGGAAAGAAGGCAAAATAAACAAATAAAATATGAAAAGAAAGAGAGAGACTGAGAGATGGTATCTCGTGGGAGCGATTCCTTTCAACAGGAATTGAATGATGTTTTTTTCACTACAGTCCAATTCCAACTGGCGGGCAGGACTGGCATCTCATGTGAGAGAGACTAAGCCAACCTCTCTCATCTCTCAGCTTCGTTTTCATGGTTCCTGGATCCGACCAGTGGATTAAGTAGCTCTAGCTAGATTAATCAAGGTTTATATGTACGAAATCAAATCAAACAGGATTCAGTAACATTAGATTAACTTGTGCAGTGGATGAGTTAAGCAATGATCTCACTAAAACTTAGCATGAGAGCTTTAGGCATTTAAGTATAGAAAACCTTCTTATTCCCCGAAAAGAGATGGTGCTGCATTAGGTTTGTGATTAATGGGAGGCTGGTCATCCTTGATAAGATTGAGACACTGCTTTTGGTTCATCAATGGGAATGATAAGATGACAGGATGCAGATGCTGCCTGATTGAATGTGGTTGGCTTTTGCAAATGAGGAAGCAAATTGCATCATGTAAGAAGAGCACCCCATAAAGCAATGTCTGGTATATTCTTCTTACACAGAATGCTTTAACAAGTGGTATGTGATGGTTCAGGTTGTGTGATGCCTTCAACACTTGTCCATGATATGGACACCATATGGTTCTCTTAGAACTATATATGTGCTTTAAAGATCTTACTCAATGCCACTATTCATGACATGTAAAAATATGATGGTTCTTAAGACTTTCTTATACTAATTTTGCCAAAGCCAACTAAAATATAAGTCCATCAAACAAAATACATTATCTCCTGTTGTTTGGGTTTTCTCACTGGATTTCTCCTGATAGCAACAAGTAAAATGGCCATATAGTTATGCTTTAACATATGAAATTTGAAGCCTAAAGAAACATCATAGGTGGATGTAGAGTTCTGGATTCCAAGAACAAGAATGACTTGGTTAGCTTTGGAAATGGCCATGTCTCTAGTAAGTTTATGGTAAGAAGAAAGGAATTGGAAGATTGATCGAGGAAAAAGAGGTTTTCTTGGGACTGTCTTGACCACTTGACCTTATCTTGAGATGGAAACATCCAAGCAAGTTCAATTTGATCACATTGGATAAACATTACTCACGAGGTGTTTGAGTGAACAGCAAAAGAGAGTAGGTTAGCTTTTCTCTCAGCTCGCCATCTTGGAACAAGTAAAAGAGAGGTACTAAAAGGAAGCAGTGCCTCATCTTCTATGGGGCAATTGTATCCACAGCATTCAAATACCAGACAGTGATGTCTTGTGAGTTATCCTTGAAGTGTTTCAGGGAGTTTGAAGGTAGGTGGCGTCACCAGGCTTCTTAATAGTTAGTAGCAAACTGTGCCACTGATGAGAAAATGGTTTTGGACCTGAAGGCATACCAATGGGCATCTACAGCTACCTGTATCAGTTTTGTGCCAAAGGCTTGTTGTTCCTTCGCATCTTGTAGCAGTTGTCAGGATCTCTGATTTCAGCAGATTCTTTGTTTGGCTTTCTAATCTCCGATCCATGTAGTCTATCCTGAAATATCAACGAGGAACATACTCATCAGGATCATAGTGTTCCTGCTAAGAAAGATAAAGAGTGTTTAATTGCATGGTGAGGCTCAAGGACTAAGAATGCAAGCTTGCTGTCATCAGTATCAGATGCTTCCAGGATGCAGTTGAGACTTCTGAAAACAGAGTGCGGCTTTTGGAAGATGATTGTGATGTGTAGCAGCAAGACAATGGAAGTGTTGAAAGTTGCTGGACAAAATGACAGCATCTGGCATTTCTAGAATGGCTGCTCTTGAACTTTGACCCATTGTTCTTCAGCTCCCAGTATTAGATGGTCAAGATTTAGGTCGCTCCATCTCCAACATAAGCTACACAAGTGACACCATACTGATGGAAACTACTGTTCCAAGTTGTTCTCAATTTTCACGCACACAGAATGATTCCAGAGGTGGAAAGAGAAAATAAAACCATACCATACAACTCCAATCAAGTGATCGAGAGTGAAAACGAGGACATGTATAGTGAGATGCAACTTAGCAACTTGCTGTGGATCCTCAAAAATATTCTCTTAATTGAAGTCCAGTTGGATGCAAAATACAAAAGCATGCTACGGCACACAATGTACTGCAGTTGGTTGCATCAAACAAAATGTACTTGTAGTAACACAAAGATTTCTATCCCAGAAAAAACCTTTGCCTTCCTACTTTTTCCACCTTTCATTCACCTATCAATCCCTGCTCAATCTTACATCACCAACCCAAAAGAAGATTGCTCTGATAAACAACACCAAAGCATTGCGTCTTCATGCTCAGCATGTGTACTCCAACATCATTAAAGTGTGATTTAGGGAATAGGATGCTTTTTCTTTTTGGGTGCCATGGAGCAACACTACCTTGGTGACCTAGAGAACAACAACACTACCATGGAGATTCTTGCCAACATTTAATTATCTATCGGTCATCATGGAGTCCTGAAATCCCTATTGATGGTCATTCTCAGAAAGAAAACTTTGTGTCTGCTTTAGTCTTTACCTCTGGCTGAAGCAAAGTAGTCCAACTAGCAGTTGCTGCATTTCTGATCTCTCTTTTATGATATTTAATTGCACATTGTCTTGGTACATGGCTTAATCTTGTTGTTCTATCTACCAAATGAGATCAACTTTTGTTTCAACAAAAGCTCTGTGGCTTAAGTACTAAGATTAAGCCAAAGCTGGAGTGTGCCAGTTCAACTAGCATTACCTGAAGCACTCAATTTCATACGACAGAGTGGTGTCAGAATTTTTATTCAAGAGGACTAATGTTTAGATGCTAATCTATGCACAATTACAAGAACAAACTTACTTCAAAGAAATATATTTCATAATGATTATGGTATAGACCATTTGTGTAGCTTATATTTGCAAAATTATATAAATTTTAAGGAGTATGAATTCATAACTAAAGGTAAAAATTAAAAAGCTAGTACAACAAGATCAGAACAAACATAAGTAGATATACAGCAATGAAGAGAGAAAGACACCCACAAAATTAAAATATGCATATGGAGTAATATGTATTACTTGTCCTGAGAAAATAACTTGCTTGTAAAAACAAAATGATGTTGGAAACATGGAATCATAGACTATACTATATATAAAGAGCAACCATAAACGAAAGATTAAAAAACATGTAAAAATATAAACAAGAAAAACAGAACTTATGCAAAGAATTTATTATCAATTCATGAAATGTTTTTTATGTAGCAAACACCCCTGTGAGGATAAGAAATAATGGTGAATATGATCATAGGGATTTGGACAAATTTAAAAATCTCATTTTGAGATCTTTGTGAGACAAAAATTCCAGTTCATCACTGGCACCAGATTTAGATGGCATGTGCCAACTTTGTTTCCCCATTGTACTGTAGTAAACTGGTGGCCTGAGGGAGAATAGATTAATCTCAACCCAAAAAATAAAAATAAAAACAAATGAAACAACATACAGAAAATGTTTCACTGATTTAGAAGATACTCCACCCAATCCAATAGTTTCACATGAATGCTTTTTCGACCAAAAATTCCAAACATGTCAAGTTCACTAGGAGATGACAAGAATGATACAGTGGATAAAAGAAGTGAGTGTTGATGATGAGGATAGGATTAAAGCATTGTTCAATATAAAGTAAATCTCCATATTCTTAGGAGTATGCACTACAGAATGAGTTTTGTATCCACAATCCAATAATTCTTAGGAAATGCAGACTGGCTTGTTGCTCATATTTTATCTGTTTTCTACAAGCTATCTTCATGCATTCTGTAATCAGCACACAATCCATGCATCATGATTCCTTGGCACTGTAGGAGGATGTAATGCATCCAAAGAAGACAAGATTTGGCCGGTTTGTGGGGTCAAGGATGCTCCATAAGAGAGGAAAACAACAAGGAAAGGGTGGTGGCGAATTAAATGCTTGTCTGATGAAGTTTGATTCTTTGCCTCAAAGTGTCACAGTGCTTGTTGTAGAATTTTTAGCCTCAATGAATAAAGTGATGGCTCCTTAAATAGGATGCAGGTTAGCTTTGTGGCTACCTCTTGCATATTAGTGTGGACCTACATCAGAAGACTCCATTAATGGACCAATCATAGACAGAATGGAGTTTGATGACAGTGTTGTCTTTTCAAGCTTACTTACACTGGTAGACTCAGTCCACCATGTCAGTGTTAGATCAGCCAATAAAGTCAGACCATGCCAGCATCCGCATATTAATTCAGGCACTGTGCTGATAGAGCAATTGCTGATATTGGCCGAGACAGTTTTTGGATTAGACAGACTGCAGAGAAATTAAAAGGAAAGAAAGCAATTGCTGATATGAATGACTTCATAATTGTTTAGATAGGAACCAAAAAAGAAAAATCTTGTCTCTTTTATTGCACTTGTTTGCTAAGATATCTTTTCTCCTATCTATGCAGAAAAATACACTTTAGAAGTAATGAAGAAGATTTACTGGCTGCTGCCAACCATTTTGCTCTCTGCAGTACAGACCTAACTTTATAATCTACCAAATATCTTCATTCTATACTTGTGTTCTAAATGTCAAATTTTGGAAAGTCCAAGTCTTAACTAGGCCAAACTGAAACCTTCAAAAACTCAATTCATGGTGATGGTGAACTTGGCAACTCTGGTTCTTCTCTTGCTCAGTGGTAAAGAACTTTTTTCCTCCTCCTTTCGTTTTACTGTCGCATCTGTGTGACAATTAATAGCAGTTTGCCTTCTCTGACATGAAAGGAGTAATGAGACACATGAAAAGACTTAATATTATCTCTTGTCCTTCCTTGATATGTCACTGGCAACAGTCATCTCCTGCAAAAAAAGACTGCGACTTCTTGCCTTTATATCTTTCAGCTTTAGTCTTGTTTCGTCTGTGGTCTGCAAGACAGAGTCGGCCTCAGTATGTGCCACGCAGTGGAAGAAGCTCACATGGCCAGGCTTTTGAGAACAGTTAAGATCCTCTCATCTTCCTCACAGATTGTGCATGGAAAATGAATATGGCACCTTCTGTTTCAGCATTTAGATTCCATGAAGCAACTTCTCTTCTTCCTCATGGGAAATACAATGACAAAAGCTACTTGATAAATGTTCATAAAGGATTTACATAACTAAGGAACATGTCATGGTACTGCAAGTGCAAGGCTATGGCTAGCAATTAACATAAGTTGGTAACTGAAAGACTGCCAAAGAAAAGAAGCAATCATACTGTGTTTCCTGTTAGAATGGTCTCAAAAACATGCTCTTGTTGAAGGAAAAATTCAGAACCAATACAGAATTATGTCAAAAAAATTAATAAGGATGATACAAAAATTTATTCATTCACATCCTATCTCTAAGAGATAAATGAGAAGTCAACTCTGATACTATTTTTCACGACCTAGGCCTGATGGATTAACTAACATGTTAAATTTATTGAGTTCAAACCACTAACCAAAATGCTTAAGCTAAAGTTGATAATAATGTATCCATCAAACCCTTATAAGTCAATCTTAGTCTTATCCACTTTTGATGAAGAATATTTTTGTTAAGGTATATACATGTTGTACGTATAAATGTTCTTCCATTTGAGGCCGTTAGCCATGTTCAATTCCATGTTGTAGTCACGATTGACAATCTAATACATTTTCAGCTGAGCTTACTACAAGGATCACAATTAAACTTGTACTCCTTCCCTCATTTCCACTTCTACATGCTTACACTTTGAGTTGCAAGAAACTTCTCTAATTCCTGAGGAGTTTCATTCCTGCTGGCCCATCAGAAAAAATTAAGCGAGGCAGCCTAATTGTGCAAGAAAAAGAAAGGAAGCCTTTAGTACATAATCAAGGATCACCTTTTCTCAGAATAAAGGAAGAGCTAAGATAGCTCCTCCAACCTTGTTTTGGTTCTCTTTCGGCTTCTTTCTCCTCATAATTTTTAGTATGGTCCTCCCTTTCCATGTTCTTTCTGCATAGCGCAATATTGAAAACTCCATATGCCACCTAACACAATTTGCAGCTCATAGACAGTAGTAAAAGATAATTTCTTTTGCTTGCATTCTCAATCTAGCATGTGATCTCTAAAATTGCAGCTCTGATCTTTGACATATGCTTAATTTAGCATGACTTTCTTAGAATTACCAGTAGGTGAGAACTTTTTATTTCTTCTTTAACCATGAATTCACTGAGCAGTCCACTGTAAATTTGGAACAAAGTGTCTATAATTGCCTCTCCAAAGTGGTGGCTGATCATTGATTCTTGTATGGCTCTAATGGCCATCGATATGATTCTCGCATCCTCCTTAGGATCTCCTGTGCTTGTGCTCAGCTCATAAGCTTGTATACAGTCGATCACAAATGATCCTTCTCTGTGTACTTCGTCCTTGATCTCCTTCGCTGATGGAGCATAAAATGGAACATTGTATGCGTCAACCTTCTCTTCATCAATTATCTCCTGTGAAGCAATAGGAACATAAATTTGAGGGAGGTGCTATGAAAGAAATGGTTTAAGATACAGAAACCATAATTTCTTTTGATAAATTCTATTTTTGAGCTTTCATATTAATAGCATTCCTGCTGTGATCGTTGAGGAAAATGGACACAGATGAAGTCGATGCACAATGTATTAACTCCGATAAGAGAACATATAACTGTCTGCTTCCTGATCTCATTTGGAGTGTGATTGACTTGATCTTGATTCGTTTCAAATGAATAAAAAGATTGAAGGAACAAAGTAACTGACTAGGAGGAAGTAATGTACAAAATTCAAAGGTAAAAAGAAAAGTTTTTTGTTCCTGCAACTTGCAGCTGAACATTAAAATGAAACAGAAAGCCAAGAGTAGCACTTACTTGTGAGACCATAATTTCCAGTGACTGGTCTAAAAGTTCCCATAAAACTGTTGTGCACTTATCACTGTGATCTTCAGTTCTTCTTCCCAACATCAAAATGACGATTCGTCCCTCGAAATGTAGCTCTACAGATCTTGACTTAAGAAAGAGGCTGAAATCTTTCTGGAACTGCTTGAAGTATGCTAAAGAAACAGCAGGGGGGCTTGTGTTAGATATGTACATGTTCCCCTTATTAATTGGCTTGCAATCACTGTCAAGAAGCCCCAAAGGAACCTGCACAATCATTTTTGTTCAGATAAACAACCACTTCTCAAAAGGATCTTATCAACCATAATCTTTTCCAACTTCACTAATTAATTCAGAGTTCGCATGAATAAGTAGTCGATTTGAAATGAGCTTATGAATCTTCGACAATGAATACAGAGATCACATATCATTTTAAAGAACTGAATGCTAACCTGGGAAAGCCAGTGCAAGCTATAGCAAGAGTAGATGAAATCAAGACTATTGCCTGGAAAAAGCCTGCTATAGAAAGACCCAGGAATCCCAGCTAAATATACAGATGGAGCACTGCCCCCTTGCAACTCAATGCCTGCTTTGAACTTCATATTGAACTCTGGAAAGCTCAGAAACATGGCATTGAAGTCATTGGTTGGAAGGTCATTAAGGAACACCAGAAACTCTGGTGCCAGCCTCTCTAACTGCCGAGATCTCTCATGAATGGCCTTGATAATTTCTTCAGCTAGATATAGAGAATTTATCCCTGAGGAGCAACCAAGATCAGCAATTGTGAAGATTTCTGGTGTCTTAAAGGCATAGGCAGCTAATGCTGAGTCTATTATGAAATGCTTCATGGCCTCCGTACTCTTCTTCTGAAGAAAGAACACACAACTTTAAAAAAAAAAATCATGTAAATATTGGATTAATTGTTGACATATAATGGAAGATCATAACCTGAAGGGAAGAATTTTGGGAATAGCTTGTCTCACCCAGCCCTTCCTTCATGTGAAGAATACTCTCCACATCCATGATCATCACAAGTTCAGTAGTATTTGGAGTCGTACAGGGTGGCATTGCCTCTTCAGTTTCAGTTCATCTTTACTTTCCTCTTGATCTTCTATTTTTTTTCTTCTACATAAATTATGAAAGAAACACATCTAAGGCAGATAATGAGTTCACATGATTGGACATGCTCAAAATTAGTTTGCCAAGGGAAAAGCAAAAAGGTGAGTCTGAGTGCCTGTTTCCATCAGTTGGATCTAAATCACATCTCCCTTCTCATGTCTGATATTTGTCAGCCCTATCCATGAATCTTCATATTAGTGTATGTTAGACATTCTTAACCATCTAATCATCTCTCACATCTCTCACATCATAGATGGGTCCTGTCAACGTTTGAAACTTGAGATAAGATTGAGGGGACCATCAGATGAGAGAAGATCTGCACATTGGAGGGATTCTAAAGCTTGAATGATATGGCAGAAAAGCATTTTGGAAGTGTTCATGTGATAAAAGAAGCCTTATAAATTGGTCAATAATTTATAGAATGCCTTGATGTCATAACAGTTGTTATCAGTTACCTATTAATAATGAAATAGTTTTCTTCCTAGTGCTTGTAAAGCTCATTATAATGACCAGAAGAGCTGATCATGATTAGTAAGCCATGCCTCATGGTGTTTGGCAGAATTGATCATCTTGAGGAGGAACTACATCTTAATACAAAGTAAGATCTTTGGGAATATTATGACAAACATTATTTTTCATTCGATTTGCTCCTGATCTTTTTTTTCCTCTTGTCAGCCGAACATTAGCTGATGCTTTCATCTCACAAACACCAAGAATCACCCAACAACTTCTACTGTCTGCCTTTGTCCATGCATCAATTCCAGATCATGTTGCCACAGCAACATAAGATTGTTTTCTTGTATGTAAGAATGATTTGAGTTGTTTTAAGAAACTCAAATGTAAAAAAGGACCAGAGAAAGCACAAAATTTGGCTTTACCATAAATTTCCTGCTTCACAGAGTTGAAATCTAAAAACTGTAATAACTACAATGGAATCAGAACATATTTTTTCCTTAATTAAAGCTCTTTGGAATCTTGAAGTATCATTAATCCATTTTCACTCCCATCTCCCGATCGATTACCATGCAGTAGAGACAAAAATAAAAAGAGTGTCGGAAGATGAATACCTGGGACTCTTGAGTTCAGGTGATGGTTCTCCTGTTACAATGACCCAAGCAGCAGAGTTGGAGGACCTAGTAAGCTTGAAGGCTCCAGAAGAAGCCAAAAGCAGTGGAAGAAACCTTCACACTAAACCAAGAGCTGAGTGACCTATTAAAGTATGCGCATAAAATATCTCCTTTTGGCAGCAGATGGCTATAAAATATTGCAGTGCTATGCTTTTACTGAGTTTCTTCTTCCTTAATTTTTCACTTTGTCACTCATGGCATCAATGGTGATTCAGATAGAATAATGTGCTTTTCAATTTGCAGTGAGTATCTTTATAGCCAAACCATGGAAAGAAAAGGAAGACAGTACACATAAAACTGGACTAGAATGGCAACAAAAGTATGCCGAGTTTACTTTTGGCAGAAGATGAGTATCAAAAGGTTTGCGTTGCACTTCTTCACTTTGCTGTTCAGGGTATCAAAGATGGTCGAGACTTGAGACGTAGAGTAATCATTGCAATTTGCAATGAGAATCTCAAATGTCAAACCAAACAGAGAAGGTGAACAAAGAAAAGTCTGCTCATGAGATATGTACATTTAAACGAGAGTCAAAGGGCACAGAGAGTGTTGCAGTGTCGCGCTTGTTCAGTGTTTCTCTTTGTTTAGCTTTTCACCTCGTTCGATCATGGCATCAATGATGATTCGTATCTTCTTGTGTGTATTGCAGCTCAACAATGAACATCTCAACAGTCAAACCAATGAGAAGACAGGGAAGAAAGTTAAACCTGCTCATTTCATGCTTTTCTTTTCTTGGCATCTCTCTGAAGTGATACGAACTAAAATTAAGCTGAGCCAGTATGATCTCTACTTGATCGAAATCTCTGTTTGAGGTAATAGTTGCACATATGTTTGCTCAACAATGATCTACACCCTTCAAAATCAAGATGGCTCTCTCTCTCTCTCTCTCTCTCTCTCTCTCTCTCTCTATATATATATATATATATATATATATATATATATATATCATGAACAATATGCAAAAAAATAAATCGAACATCAACTTTGTGTAAACTTTATGATCTTCATATTTTTTTATGCTCAAATGATTTCTCTCGAGCCAATGTATTGGGAATGATTGTAACTTTTCATTTTCGAGGAGGTGCATAAAAGATCGATCGAACATTCACTTTGCGTAAACTTTATGACCATCGTATTTCTTTTTTTTTTTACCTCCATGGGTGCAACACAATTGACACCCTTACCGTCAATCCATTACTTGAACGAGGTTCAATGTTGTAATAAGAAACTGATTTTTTATTATTTATCAAAACAAAACTAGAAATTTATCGTCTCCAAAGAAGTTTAAACATAATTTATTTGATCAACCTCGACATATGATTACAGTTTCTTTATTCCTATAAATGGGGCCAAAAAAATTATGAAAGAATCATTAGAAAAATGAGTTAATAAATCAAGTTCTTTTCTTGCATTTTGTGTTTGTGGTGTCAAGCCACATCTAATTCTTCGATGATATAATTTAGTTATCCATGTATGCAAAGATACGAGAGCTTAATCCTATGATTTCTCTTCTTAAGAAACAGTGAGTCCTATGATTTCTATTTTACTATTATATTAAAAAAAAAATCTCACTTCCAGTTGTCAAGTTTGGTGTCTGAGCTTTTGGTTTAACCAAAGGCTTTCATTTAAATAAATTTCTATTTGTTGAAGGAGCCTTTTACAAATTCTATAAATTGCCACATGATGTTGTTTCCTAGATTTATTATAATGAAGAAAAAAGAAAAGTAATTTAAAAAAGAAAAAAAGGGAAAGAATCATCTAGCTAAAAAGGAAAACAATCATAGGTCATTTGGCAAGATGAATTTAGAAACTTTTCTTCTCCAAAGAATGTAAAACAAATTATTTGTTTGATTAATCTTGATATGTTAGGATTTTCTCTTATTAATTATTTTTTTTCTTCTTATACATGAGTCTATAAAGGAGGTCATAACATTATAATGAGTTATCGAGGAATGAGTTGATAAATTTATTTCTTTTTCGATATAGTGTGAATGGTGCGAAGCTATATTTTTTTCTTTTCAAATTACATAATTCTACATTCACATACAAGACTTGCGAGGGTACAAAGTCTTTATCGTGAGAGTGAGTTCCTTGAGCCTACAATAAGTCTAACAATTATATTCTTCTTTTTCTAATAATATTTTCAATATAATCTTTCGTCTTTTACGGTTTCTCTTTTATAAAAAATATTTCACTATTATAAGTTATACATCATATCTTATCAACCCCCCATGGTAGTGTTCATAGGAAGGAATTTCTTAGTTATATCTTAGGGCATTTTCTTGGAGTCAACTTGCAATACAATACGGATTTCGCACTCTACTTCTATTTCTATGTCTTATATTTAAAAATATAATTTTGTTTGATTTCTTAATTAAATATAATCAAGTATTAGTTTATGTTTCAAAAATACATATTTAGAAATGAGAGAGGAAAATCAAAATTTGCATTACTCTTGTCATTATTACCTTTTTTTCTTAATGTTTTGGCATTTACAATGTCTTATTCATTAAAATTCAATCTTTTGATTTCTTCCTTGTTTTGCATTGGGACATCCAACATGACTTTATTTTGAAAATTATTATTTTTAATTTTTGATCAATTCCAATCCAATATTTGTTTATGTTCCAACAATCTAGGACAAAATGTTGTATAGCAAATTTTAAATCTACTAAGGATGTAGCTCTCCTTTTAAATTAATTGCACCATAATGTTTGATTGATCAATTGATTCATGGTGATTATCATTAAATTAAAAGCATATATAATTGGATTAGCTTACTATGAGTTCGTGCATCATTTTATTATTTTTGATGCTAATCCATTGCTAATGGTTAATCTTTTCTAATTTGCTATGATGTTTGCACACCACACTAACATAATATTTTGTGCATTTTACCTGAAAATAAAAATTATTACTACTGATAAAAATATTATTTCCATTGAACTTCTGTCGATAAAAAAAACCCTAAATATTTATTTGTATAGTATTTGGTAATAATAAAAATTTTACCAAAGTAACTTCCATTTAGAAATCATCAAAAAAACTAAAATCCAAGATGTATTTTTTGGTTGAATTTTTCTATACAAAATTGGTTATTTAATTAATTTCATATTTTAAATTTCATAATTTGAAGATTTTAGAATTACCAATTTGGAAATATTCCATTTTTAGAAAACTTCAAATTCCAAAATTGTAACAAAGGCCTTTCTACAATTTCATTCCTTATCAAATTTTGATTATGAAATCATTTTGTATTTTTCTTTTAAGGTATATTAAAAATTAATTACTAAATTTATTATAAGAAATCTATGTTAAAGAAGCAAACTTATTCTCAAATTAGGTAAATCTATTTCTGAAAAATGGATTATTTAACATATCACTAGAAATAACTTAACAATATCAATTATATACTAATAGAATAGTATAATTTAGATAGCATTAGATAAGAATATTCAGTAGAAACCCTTTGATGTGAAATCATCCAGCCAGGATCATATATTCATCTGTCTTGATTCATCATAGTATTCACAAACAATATCAAAGGAGTAACAATCATCAAGGAAACATTATATACAGCTACTGCTAAGCATTTGAAGAACATGAGCTCAAGAACATGAGCACTGCTAATAAGGCATGCATGCTATCCGACATCTACAACCCTGCTCATGTTCTTGAAGGCCTCGATCGATCTTATCTTCGTTTGTGCCATTTGAAGATGTAGAATCCCATAGTGAAGCCTCCTATCGTTGCCGATGAGACTATCGTCGAGGTGAGGCCCTTGTTGGAGTCGTTACATCTGCCATGGTCGATGAAGCACGGTGAGAGGATTTGGAAGGCTCCTACTATGGTGTAGGGAATGGATACTCCCTCGTCAACCTCGATCGGTTCCCGTACTCGCAAGCAAGAACTACGTCGTGCAGCTATGGCCCAACATCACGATACTAGCCTTTCAAATCTTCTCATCGCCCTTCACCGACCATGGCAGATGTTTGGACTCCGACACGGGCCTCATCTTAGCCCTCTCAATTCTATATACAATCTCCTACGTGGTCTTCTCCCTCACCGGCAGCCTCATCAATAGTGACAAGAGGCTTCATTATGGGGTCGTAACACCCAAGGGATTCTACATCTTGAATGGAACAAAACGAAGACTGGAGCGTGGCCATCAAGAACATGAGCAGGTATCAGCTTTCGCGGTGCTCACATTCTTGAGAACAGCATTCTGTGACGTGAGGTTCCAGAAATGCTTCTTCACCAACACAAGGCCTAGAGCGAGGCAACTCCTGTTGAATCTTCCACGGGGCACGAGGATCTCGTTAGCTATCATCTCCATCATCTTTCCCACCTCTCGTAACGGGATCAGGTACTAATATGATGCGTTCACTTAGCAGTAGATTGTTCTATAGTCTGTTCTCGATTACATTCACTTGGCTGTAGGTCGTTCTATCATCTGTTCTTGATGACGGCTACTCCTTTTAGGTTGTTTGTGAATATGATGGTAATTCGAGACAAATGAATATATGATCCTTGGCAATAGGTTGATCTCATATCCAAGTTTCTCTTCTGAAAATATCTTTACTTTCAAACCTGCTTATATTGTAATTATACTATTCTATTAGTATATATTTGATCTTGTTAATTATTTCTAGTAATATGTTAACCACTCATTCTTATGGCCGAAGTCAGTATAGAAAATCCATTATGAATTCAAGAAAAAGTACATCAGTATGGAAAATTTTCACTTCAACTATATAAAGTGGATATGAAGTTTCCAGCTGACAGCACATTTAGGCAAAACAGGGCACTTGCTGCAGAAAACTGAAGGCTAGAAGGCTAGACAGATGGTGGAAAGATCAACTTATCAGAGTTCAATCTACCATAATCAGAAGTAATTCTCCAATATTCCATGATATTTAGGAAAATTTTGATGCACATAGTGACATATTTTGCTACATAGTGTAATGCTCATCTCAAATGCATAAAGAAGCTAAGAGCTGTAAATAAGATATTCAACCTCTGTAAGATAGATACATCACAATAGAACTTCATGAAAAAGAACAAGGATTTTGAGTCTTTTTTTACCGGCGTCTAGTACGCATGATCTTAATGTAATACTTGTATATGGAGCCAACATTTAGAAAATAATTGACAAATTAAATTGGAGAATGAAGCAAAAAATTCTCTGAAACATGTCGGGATCTGAGCTGTCGGTGTCATACTAAACAAAAAATTGGTCTGATAATTTCATATAAATATTTTTTCCTACTGTCTTACAAATATAATCTTTTGCTTTCTGTATCATGAAAAGGTAATCAGATAATATGATGTTAATTGATTAATATCCAACTCAAGAGACTTGTAAGGAAACATATAAAAAGGTTGACTTCAGTTGCAACTACATCTAGTCCTATGTCTAAATCAAGGTTTTAACTTGGAGGGTGAAAATTCTGAATAAGGTTATCACAAGCATGAAGATGAATTTAAGCAAAGCTTCAAGGGAGAATTCAAGAGATGCATCCAAAATAGTGTTCTCCATTGTCAAGGGCAAACCCACCTAAGATGCATGTGGTAGTTGGCTCCAGTTAGTGAGCACTGAAAAGAACATCACACTCTGACTTGAATCTGATTTCTTTCCACAAGCTTATCTGCTACAATGGTTGCTGTCATTGCACTGTTCAACATAGGCACTCCCAACTAAAATGGGCTTCATCTTAGTTTTGTGCAGAGTGGGTGGGTGAAGCATGAATCAAGCAGAAAGGTAGGAGAATGATGTCCATTCGAAGAGGTGATTTAGGCCTTGTCGTATTCCAATATGGATGAGATCTTTTTGTGCCCGGAATGCTGTAATGCTTTACACATGAGTGAATGGCAGAGGTTGAATAATGGAGGTATCTGATAGAGAATGTCCACTGTCTTGCATGGAACTCATACTGGAAGCCATTCGATGAAGCCTGTTCACCTTCTACCAAGGACAACAAACAAGGAGAAGCATGAAGGTGGCTGCTGACTTGCCCCATTTTCATTTCCTCTATGCCACATCACTTACATGGCAAAGGGGAGGTCTTATGACATGGCATGCTTCATATTTGCCTAAACACGTGAGTTGAAGGTAGTGTCAAAGATAAACTGTCCATGTTTTCAGTAGTGCATATGCATCTCCAATTGGGTTTTTATGAGGAGATGGTGATTGAGTGTATGAATCTTGCACTCCCTATGGCTGTGTTTCTGAAGTAAGAAGTAGACCTTTCCTATCATGATAGATAAAACCTAATTGTTCTTAGATCATTCAAATCTAACATATGTTGACTTTATTTGTATCCCTCTTTGTAGCCCGAAACACATAATGAACAATCTGTTTCTAAGATATCCAACTGCTCAACTCCTAAATTGTTCTCGAGCATAAAGAACAAGAGAGGAAAAAAGCTTGTGTTGGTTGTGTTGTCTGAGCTTCTACAAGTGAGAGTATGGATGAAGATTCAGTGATCCAGCCCTGAGAACTAACTTACAGCATTAACTTCTGGTCATGGAAGTTTCAGCTATCAATATGAACTCAAAAAGGTTCTGCCAAAGCAAGTCGCTGCAGATGAAAGTGAGCCATGTCAACTCTTCCATCACTACTTTCACTAAGTGGCAAACTGCAGGCTGTCAAGTAGGGCAGGGAATCCATTTATGGAGGATAGAATTCAATGGGAGTCACTTGAGCTTTGGTCACAGATGGTGATTGGCAATAGCGCACAATTCTTGACGCAGCCTGCACCAGCCATCCCATGAGCACAAAATGATATAATCATTGATGTCCGCCTATATAAAGTCACAGCCGCACTACTCCATGCAGTGGCATCGAGAGCTCATTCATGGCCTCTTCCATGGAGGTGTGGCCGCGGCCACGGTGGTGGTCGCTCTGTCTTATGACTGCTGTGGTGGTTTGCTTCGTTGCTAGCACGGTTTCGGCAGTGGAGGTCGATCTTCCACTGTTTCGTTTTGGTGCTCCTCCCTACTCCGGGAGGCATCACCTTCCTCCTCCACCAAGACATCACTACAACTCTCCTCCGCAAATAAGATATTATCATTACAAGTCTCCTCCACCGAGAAGATACAAGCATAAGTCACCGCCACCGCCATCACCTCCTCATCTTCCATACCATCGCAAGTCTCCTCCGCCATCATCACCTCCTCATCACCCCTATCACCACAAGCCTCAGCCGCCACCATCACCATTGCGAAAACCACCATTCTACCATTACAAGTCACCTCCTCCACCAACTCCATCTCGTCATCCTCACCGTAGGTCACCACCAACTCCATCTCAACATCCTCGTCATAAATTACCTCCTCCATTGTCACACAAGTCGCCACCTTCATCTCAACCTCCTCGTCACAAGCCACCACCTCCTCCTCCCAAGTCACTACCTCTTCCACCATCAGTCATTTACAAGTCACCACCTCCTCCTCGCAAGTCATCACCTCCACCATTGCTCATTTACAAGTCACCACCTCCGCTATCTCAAGCTCCTCCTCACAAGTCACCACCGCATCCATCTCAAGCTCCTCCTCGCATGTCACCACCTCCTCCACCATCACTCGTTTACAAGTCATCACCTCCTCCGCCATTACTCATTTACAAGTCACCTCCTCCTCTATCTCGACCTCATTATAAGTCACCACCTCCTCCAATACCAACAATTCCTCCCCCGTCACCTCCATCCCCATCTTCCTCCTCATCTCCTCCCCATGTTTCTAACTCACCACCACCACCTTTCCTCTCTCCTCCTCCATC